GAAATTGTCTCAGGTATTGAAGCACTGCATATTCTTTTCTTAGTTAACAAGTGTACAGGCTGTAAACAGAGCAGTGAAACTTCTGCTGGCTGGAGTCTTCCTCTGTAAGAACTATAGGCTTGAGGATTCATCTGACAGAGCCCTTCAATTGAATGGGGGGCTGTATTGGTTCAGGCAGAAATTGCTGCCTGTTATGAAAACTGACACTGTTTTTTAGGACCTTATTTCCAGTCAAGCATTAATCATTTCATATGCATACCAGTAATTGCTTCCTATGAGCCTTCATGATATTTTCATTGTGGAACTTGTAAGCAGTTGATTTTTATGTTTCTTTAGCAAATTTCTTGATCAAAATACACCACCTTATGCATGGGCAAGGAGGTAGATCACCTTTCACTGTCAGGCACAGGCTAAAAGCTTTGACCATAGCACTTGGATTTAGAGCAACCTCAGTGTTCTGCATGGCAGCATTTTTTGTTGGTGAGATGTTCCTATGAATGGGCTTTCTCTGTACTCAGTGTATTAGCAAATGCTAGGTTTTATGTTAATATCACTTGAAATGTGTAAAGCTTGCTGCTGTGCCTCCTGCAGCAATGGTGACTACCTGGTGATAGCTTGTGTCATACTGCTTCTGTACCTGAGAACTGTAGCGGAAAATAAGATGCTGATGTCAGACTTGGTAATAAGTGTCATGTGCCTGGCAGGACCTTGGCATGCACACACCATTGCACTGAAGACAGTATTTGAGCTCTTAATTCAAGCAGGTCATCTTGGGTTTTCTGGATATTGGGTTGTTTTTTTTCCTTCCTCCTCTGTTACAGGGCATCTGATCTTTTGTACGTGTTAATGGAAACAAAGCCCATGAGAGAAGAGTTCAAGTCTGTAACAAGCACTTTAGTTACCTAGTCCCTTTCCTGTGGTACAGATGTCTGTGCCAGGCTTTCTTAGCAAGTGTTCCTGCAAATTGATGTTGCCAAGATGTCCTGCAAGCTGAAGTCACCAACATCAAGCAGTATTCATTCTTAAACTCTGGAGAGCATTTCAAGTATGTGAACTGTGGTGTGAGTAGCTGTGGGTGAATACTGCCTAGGAAAAGACAGTTTGCTGTACTTATCACCCCTGGAAATGGGACCACAGGTGTCTCAAGGAGGTGCTGTTTTCGTAATCATGATTATCCTGAAGGTGAAGTTCATCTCAAGAGTTGTCATTCTAAAGGAAGGGTTGGAAGTGGTTTACATGGCTGACTAAAAATGCAGAGCTGTATTCAGCTGCACATTGCCAGCACACATACATGTCTCAAGGATGTAACTGCTCTCTTTCGATTACTGACAAACTTTTCCTCTTCAAGGACTATTCAGCAAAGTAAAACTTTATAAAATGTTTTCGAGACACAGGGAAAGTGGCAACAACGGGAGTGATTGTGCAAAAATTGCACATGTGAAAAAATGGAGGAACTATGCTGGAAAACTGCTACTATGTTCTGAATGCACTATTTGCTGCTTTTCATCTGAGTGTTATTGAAATAACTGCTTAAGTAATATGGTAGTAGGTTTAAGTATGTGAATGACACTAACTTTTTGCAAATTATACAGTGATTACTTTGAGAAAAATCTCTGCGCTGGCCTAGAAACAGTGGGGCCAGACTCTTTCAGCTGTACTCATGTGTATCCAAACTCGTTTGTTTAACAGGGTTTGGTACTGTTTCTCCTGACTAGCGCAGTGGTGTAACTTGAAGCTTGACTTACACAAATTAGGTTGCAGGTATAGAGGAGATGTCTCTTCTCATGTTTGCACACCTGTTTAAATGTTAAATTTGTGTGGTTAAGCAAGGTTTGTGTAGTTAACAGCTGTTGCTTCAGGAAACACCAGTTTGTTTGGTTTCCTCCATGTGCTCCCCTCAGCCCCTCCCTGCCACAGCCTGTTCTGTGAACTGCAGACCTCGTGTTCTTCGATTTGGGTACCAGCCACTTTGAAGACAAGATGGCTCTGATTGGGACTAGCCTGTGCAGGTGTTTATCTTTAGTGACCAAAACTCTGCAATGAGTGAGTGAGCTGATTGATATATTTTTTTTTTAACCTGTTCACCTGTAGACTTTAATTTTCTTGAGCTTTGATTATTCTGAAGTCACCTACAGTGCATCTATCTGTTGGGAGGGAGCACAAAGCTTTTTTTATATTTTTAAGAATTGTATTTGCCCTTTTAAGTGCTGCTCTTCAGAGCCAAATCAGTCAAATGCTACTGCCCAGCTTGGAGTATTAGTTAACTTTTGGTAAGAAGTTTTCTTTTTGAATAATAGTATGTACCTGGTTTTTATACATACATGTTGTTACTGTATGGTAACAGCTGAATGTGCTTGTCTCTGAAATTGTATATCTTTTCTGTAGGCATCTGTTGTGCTACTTAAGCAACAGAAAACATGGAGTGACTTTGTATGTACAAAATTCTGAAAAGAACCTTGTTCCTGTTGGCATGAACACAATTGTTAGAGTAGGAATCGTGTTTGGATTAGCTAACCGTGAAGTTGGTAAGTGGTAGAATGTTGTTAATAAATGTTGCAGCTTGGTTGCAGTGAGAAAAACTTTTCCTTTAGCATGCTCACAGCAATCTGATATCCAGGGGAATACTCTTATGATATAAAATCTGCCAATGCTTGATTTTTTTTCTTAGTACTGCTTGGGGAGTTCACTTTTAGATTTAAACTGTTAACTTGATTAACCTATATTTTTAAGTCACAAGGTAATTCTGAGACATTTTTAATTATGTCCTGTGTTAAAGGAAGGTTATTACACATGAGACAAAAAATACTTACACAGTTGGAAGAAATTAACAACTACTTCGAGGAAGTAACGTCATTTATATAACTGGACATGCTTTTTTTCATGCTCTAAACCTGGATGCATAATTTCACTCAGTTGGCTTAGTTGATAGGATCTATCTTGAAGTCTAACCACCTGAAATTTCTGTGAAATACCACACTGGATGTTTGATTATACATAAAATACATGATTCTGCTAAACGGTTGTAGCAATACCTAGTCGGTAGGCTGTAGTGATAAATGCTGTCATGTTTCCTTTTGTATGACATCCAGTTAAAGAAATATCTGATTTCCATGAAGTATAGGAGGGATTTGAAGGTGCTTGAAGAGAAAACTAGGTGATAAATACACCTTGTCTGGTTTTTTGTTTGTTTGCTTTTGTTTATTTTGTTTGTTTTGGGGTTTTGGTTTTTTTTAAAATTTTTTTGGTTTTTTTCACTTGCCTCACCGATTATGCTCTACTGTTCAAAACAGAGCTTTGTATAACAAATTGTGCCATGTTGTATCTTGTTACTGCTTGATTTTGGAAGATCTCATTAGATGGCTTGGAGCTGGGGATGGGAAAGGTAAGAGGAAAAGGAAAATGGTTTAAGAAAATAAGTTGTCTTGGAGAATGTAGTTCTTTAACCTTGTACATACCAAGATAAGAGAACCCCACTGAACTTAGCTGCTTGTGGGTTGTAGTAGGAGTTGTATGCATAGCAATCCATTGTGAAAGGCAGATCACGTAGCTAAACCATTTGATTATACTAGTCTTTCATGATTTCTGAATAGTAATCTATGGATTTTGGTTGACCTGGAAGGTTTATCGTTTTTTGAGAAAGGACCAGGCAGGCATAATGGAAAGGTGCTCTTGGCACTTCTAGGAAGCTTCAATAAAACAGCAACTGGAAACAATTTCTCTTTTCTTCTTGAAAGGAGTAACTTAATGATCCTTGTTCCTTGGAAATACAAGACTTCTCTAAAAACCAAAACCAAACATAAAGAAAAAACCCGAAACCTGAAACCAAAACAACCGAACGAAAGGATACCTCAAAACTGCTATCGCTGGTTATCTGGCCTTCGCAAGGTGATATGGAGCTGCAAGTGCCTGGTTGTTAAAAATCCAGCTCGTGCTGATGCCCAGTAGTTGTAGTAGGGGGATGTTCAGTGCTAATCGAATGGGGAAAGTAAGGCAGAGATGGCTTTCTACTCTAAAATTTTGTTTTCCTTGTGTAATGGAATGCTATGTGCTACTGGATAGACTTGGTCATTTGCACAGCTCAGGCAGGTTCTGTAGCATGGTGAGTTTCCTTGCACTGTCTCAAAAAGGCATGCAGATAACTGGATTGTAAATAATGTGTTCAGAGAGTGGGGACTTTGCAAGATCAAGAGTCTTAATCTCTTAGGTTTGTTTTGGTAACTTGGCAACATGGGCGGCTTATTTGAGTAATTTGAAAATGGCACTGTTAAATCATCATGTCATCTTGGAGACTTTTTTCCTGAAATTGTCTTCATGCCCACTGTGGATTTGATGAGAAGATTAGAAGAAATTACATGGATGACATAGGTGATTAAGTCTAGTTAGTGTAGTATGTTTTTGTTTTAAGGTAGAAGAAATAGTAGTTATGTTTCAGTGTTGCACATATATGTGTGTTACAATATTTGTATAGGTAAAAAATAGAGGAAAAAAAAGCCAGAAAAAAATAATCTGAAAAAGTGTGTATTGTTCTGAAGGATTACTTTGTAGCTGAGTGTAGAGTGGTTCTGAACTAGGAAGTGAGGCATTTTAAAAATGGCATTGTAGAATTTCTCTCGTATTTGACTTTGTCTCCTCCAAAACTTAAATTCCATGTTTTGATGAAGGGTAAGCACCTGATCAAGTAACTGAGATGAATGATTACCTGCTCATGGTGCTGAAGTTTAGATGGATTGTAAATTCTGTTAGTTCATCTGATAATAGAGGTACTAGCGATGAAAGTGGGATTGTCAGCCTTTTGGGTCTGTGGTAGCTCTTTTGTTTGGTACAGCTCTTTATCATAACAGAAGCAACTTACTTTCTCCATATTCTCCATATATATGCCTTTACTTTGTTATCTTTGAATTAGTTTCTAACACTGACTTTTACAAGACTACTTCCAGCTTTTTGGTTATGATCTGTGATATTTTGATGAAGTACTAAGATGAGAATCTTCTAACCTGCAGCACAGCCAAGTACAGTGTGGTGACATTTCTACCTCGATTCCTGTATGAGCAGATAAGAAAAGCTGCAAATGCATTCTTCCTCTTCATTGCCTTATTGCAGGTATTGTTTTATTGCTTTGTCTTGTTTATAAATTGAAATAGTAAGGCAGTACAAGTTATTTCAGTTATTATGCTTAATTGCAAATAAATTCTTAAATATATTTTAATAGTCGTATTAATTAGGTATGTGTTAGATAATTGAAATTGGAAGACAATTTAGAGACACTTTTTGAAGCAGTTTGTGAAGTCAAGCTCCTTTTTTTCTTATGAAGTAAAAATAAGTATAGTCGTAAAACATGGAATTATTAACCATAGCGAGAAAACAATCTGTGAATTCTTGTGAAACTGCTGTTTAGGTAGTTCAGGTTATTCCTGCTTTCATGTAATTGCATCATTTGAATGCTTCTCTTGTGAAGAGAAATAGAGTAAAAGGCAGGTACAGTAACTTTATCTTGTAACTTTATGGTATTGTTTCTTCAAACCTACTGAGACCTTAGACTAGTTTGCCGACTGGAATTGGGTGACAGTCGTGCACAAATCAGAAAGCTCTGTGTTCTCTCTTCTGAGAGCTTTGTATAAAATTCAAATTTACTGGAAATTAATTTGAAATACAAATATAAGATGGGTATCTCTTTTCCCTCTGTTCACAGCAAATTCCAGATGTCTCTCCAACAGGAAGGTATACCACCTTGGTGCCATTGCTATTTATTTTAACAGTTGCTGGCATCAAAGAAATCATAGAAGACTATGTGAGTATGGTTATGGGGAAGGCTATGCTAAAGGCCAAATGTTTCAGAAAAAAGCTCTAAAATGCCATAAAGCCATGCATCTCTGAAGTCTTGAGTCATTGTTTAACAGCAGCAAAATATCCTTTTGACTTTCAAAGCTGTGAACTTGACAAGAATTTCTGTAGCCCACTGAGATAAATATGATGAAAGAGAAAACAGTAGAAGTCAGGATGCTTGTTTTTACCTCTTCAAACTTGCTTATTCATGCCTTTATTAGAAAGACACGAGTGTGTGATGCTGGAGTCCTGACAAATATGTGGCCTTTTTAGATGGTTCTTGAAAATGGGGGCAGGGGGGAGGCAAGCAACCTGATCACAGAGCATCCTGTTTTGGGGAAAATCTGCGCTAACATGCTGGGTTACCATTTATCAGAAAAAGGTCTTTCTGCTTGCAAAGTACCGATGAATAAAATTATTTAGGTATCAGTTTAAACAACGGCATATAGAATGTGTAGTACAACTGCCATCAAAATATAGTGTTCTTCAGCATTCCTTTTTTCTTCCAAAAAACCAATTTGAGACGTATTTTTTTGCCGCTGATACAGATTTGAACCTGACTTCCTACATGGGGACTCTCAGTTTGAAGTTACATTATACTGTTTTATAAACCATTTGGATTTGGTGGATCTGTGTGGCTTAAACAAAAAACAAACTGACAAAAAACAAAATCAAAAGCAAACCAGCAAAAAAATATAAAGGCAAAAATGACCCAGTGTATCATTTTGCACTTTGTCTTGTTTTAGCTCTAATGGTTTTGGAATTTATAATGAAGTGCAATGAGGTGTAATAAATGTCGTGTTTCCTTGCAGAAAAGGCATAAAGCAGACAGTGCAGTGAATAAGAAGAAAACAGTAGGTAAGACTAAACACCCTTCAAATACTTAAAAGTGCAAATAGTGGATGCTTACTTTTGAACAATTCTGTTGTTTTAAGAGCCGTGGTGGTGGGGAATGCATGCCTTGTGGACTTAGTAGGTACCTGTATTTTAGGATATGTTAGGATTTTACTTTGCAATGTGTCTTAGAGTGATGATGGTCTGACACTTAAGGGTGACACACTAGGGGGATTATTAGACTTTATAAGTTCATGTAATGTCAAGGTTGTCCAAAGGTATATAGTTCTCAGGTCCTCTGAGAAAACCAAGCTGTTTTCTTCACTGACAGACTCCATTCTTCCCCCCACGCAAAAAACAAACAAAAAAAGCCAACAACCCCTTGAAACACTAGAATTTGGTGTCAAAATAATTTTAAGTCACTTTTGTAAGTGCTACTGTCAATAAAACGTAAGAAGTCTGGAAATTTTTTAGTTTTGCTTTCCTGAAGTGTTACTGAAATAAATTCTAACACTGATAATCTACTGAATGCCTGTGAGTATCCCTAATGTATTAACACTCATTGGCACTCTCTACCTGAAGACATCACTTTGGTTTTCTTCATCTCCCTTAACTGAAAGCATGTACAGAAAATAGATAGAGCTTATCAGTGGCCATCCTGTGATCGACCCATGCCGTAGGGCAGGTCCATGTTCCCATGTTGGACAACTTCCCTTGTTCCTTTGTGTAAATCTGCAGGTGAAACAGGAACACAGTGATTTGAACTCTTAGTAGAACCCCTTCCTCCCAAACACATATACCTGAAGTGTCAAAAAGATAGAGGAACATTTCAGGGAACATGGGGAAGTGAATAGCCTACTAGCTTTATGCTTCAGGTAGTCCTGCAAACATTATGTCTGTTACTCTAAATAAATTTGGTGCTTGAAAATTTGGGTTGATCGTTAAGTTTGTATCTTCATCAGAAAGCATTACTTTACCAGTTCTCCGAGGTAATTTCTCTACAAGTCTCTACAAGATGTTTCAAGTGCTGTACACACTTGAAGCTTGTTTCGAACACTGTATTTATTAGTCATTGCAAATTGACAATTAAGTGCCTGTAGCATAACAGGTCTTGTAATAGGTAATAAGAAGGATGACCCTTTCTAAGATTACAGAGCCAGTTCAATTCATTTGTAGCTAGAGAACATGCGGTAACAAACACTTCAAGGGAAGTTTATCACAGTTATTGTGGAGAGACAACCTTAAAGAACACAATGTATTCTAATGAACCTAAATTCAAGTTAACACTTGAAAAATTGTTTTAGTTCGGGTTTTATTTTTTTACATTTGAATACTCGAAATAAATTTTCCATGTGATACTTAAAACCATATCCTTGTACTTCTTAAGAGGAAGGCTAAAGAGGCTCATCCCTGAAAAATGTATTATCAGAATGAAAAACTAATTTAGGTTCAGAGTGGGATTAAGATGAATTAAATTAGGTTCTCTGTGTGCCTTATAGCTGAGTGATATCTAGTCAATGCATTCAGTATAGAAAGCAGTTGAGCTCACTGAGAGCTACGTACCTGCTTGCTCTCTGCTTGACTGTGTCCTGAGCACCACTGCCTGTAAAGACCAGTTGCTTATTTCAGCAGCATTCATGTAGGATTTCCATTTATCTTCGTGTTTGGTTTTTTAGAGCAGTGGGGTGTCTTCAGAGGGCCTTTGTTGTATTAAATTTAACATGGAGAACATAGGTTTGCTTTGCAGAGTGGCTTCAGTATGTAAGATTAAACTCCTTTTGGAGCAAACTAAACTGAAAGTTCTGTTCTAGCACTGTAAATTTCTGTTAGGAGATGAAGCCTCTAAGGCTCTGAGCAAGAGTTTCGTGTCTTTGATGGCTTCACATGGTGTATATGGAGATGATGTTGAATCAAACCAGACTAGTTGTAATCCCAAATTAAACCCTTGAGTAGCACATTACATAGACGTAGAGGGCTCAGCAATAATTGTTGTGATGTGTTGGTCCTTTCGTTGTCAAATAACATAACTAAGTCATGAGCTATATGGGGTGCACTGGAATAGTAGACATGCACAGGACTGTGCCAGATGTGGCACAAGTCTCATGGGAGATGCTTGCCCTTTGGGAGCTGCACTTGAAATGGCCCTACATGCCTAGGTGTGAGTGACAGCATTAAGTCCTAGATCTGGAACATCAGTACAACTGAGTTTTAGTCTTAGAAAGTCTTAGATAGAAGGTTTATATTGAAACTCTGTTTTTGAGTTGGAACAGTCTTTTTAGGTATTTGTCCTTCATTACTTTAACCAGGTGCCTTTTGACAAGGAATAATTTATCAATTTTATCCTGTAAGTATTCTAGAGCAGGCCTGTCCTTTTCTGTCCTTTGAAGTTAAGCACAGTAGAGGGTGCGAAATCACAACGCAAAAATTTCAGTGTGAACTTCAACAGCGAGGATTTTGCTTCTGCCAAAGCTGGTGGTTTGTGTTCAGCAGGGCTTTGAGCCTTCTTGGCATTTAAGACTCAGCCTTAAATGGGTGATTGGTAATGGTAGTGAAAGTGGATGTGGCAGAGTCAAAATGTCATGAATAAAATGCAAGGAATAAGATGAGACGCGAAAATTCTGTGGTAAATCATACACAGATGCTTCCTGATACTGATTGACAGTGGGCAGTAATGCCCTTTGTTTTAAGGAAGGTCACTTCCCACAAGAAACAGTGCTGCCTGTCTGCAGGTTAGTATGAACTGATGCCAAGAAGAAATCAGGCCACCAACTGTTGTCTAGCAGGGGATAAAAATTATATAAATATGAAGGGCAGATTCTTCTTCTTTCTTGGTTTCATGTGTCTACAGCTGTGGACAAAAGTATTGTCTCAGCTTCTGAAAAGTACAGGTCTGATCTGTATGTTAGTTCCTATTCTGGTCAGTGTTTGCTACTGCTGATACAGTTTTGAAATTTATCTGAATCATGGCCATTTGTTCTATAATATAACTTCAGACTTTCTTTACAGTTCTAAGAAATGGGATGTGGCAGAACATTATGTGGAAAGAGGTAAATAAAACCTGGGGATGGGAGGGAGTGAAAGTAGCTGTTGAAGAATTACTCTTGCCAAAATGAATTAGAATTACTGTACAGGATGTGAGAGTTCTCTGTCTCTTGGGATGGGGCCAGTGGGAGGGATCTGTTCTGTTGCAGTAGTCAAAATTGCCTTGAGCAAGGCACCTGAGTACCCACTTTAAATCCTAGTGCTATGTTACAGACAAATGCTAATGAACTGTTGTGGTTTTGCTTGTGTAGTTAATATGTAAACTGTAAAAAGTATTTTGTTTGTAGTCCACATCTAGAAGAGTAACTTTCACTGCAATACTGTACCTCACCTGCAAGTCTAGAGAGTCTTGGTTTGCTGCCTGTGTTAAAAGGTTCCTAGGTTTTGAGACTAATTAGTAAGATGCATGTTCAAATAAGGAACACAAGCCCTGCTGCTACTGAGGCACTTGGGACCCATGTTCTGTGAAGCCCTGTGCCAGGATCTGGTAAGCTTTGTTTCTAGGACTTGGAAATTGCTGAAATGCCTGAGGATACATCGATCTAATTGTGGTTCTTAATGCCTTTTAAAGGATAAAATTAACCCTCTTAGCTAATAATTGAGGAGAAAGTGCCCTCTCTTAAAACCTCTGGGAAATGACATCAGCCTCAAGACACTTAAAAGCAATGCTGCTGAAGTGTTGGGCTCTAGTAGAAACTAAAGATTACCAGGGCTTGTGGTGGCTAGTGTTGGTTCCTGTTCATGCTGTTCCATGTCCTATTTTTGTATAAAAGATGATGAATTGATCTTAAAGGTGAATCTGGAATCTGTTTATTTTAAATACCCTTGGGCACTTCCTGAATTGACCTGTGTCTATATCTGCATGTTGTCCAGGCCTGCTTTTGTGGTTGGGGAATAACAGTTCTGTACTACGCACTTTGATCACTTTAAGGCAGACTTCTGATGGTTGTTTTTTTTTGTACTGAAATTGATAGGGAATTTATTTTCAGTGGGATCAGAGTAAAACTAATGAATCTGCTTGTTCAAACATACCATCTGTTTCAATTTGTAAAAATTAATGTCTTAGAAGTATTTTAAGCCCTATTCAGACTTGCAGCAGTGCACTGACACCAAGCAGCCTGATGCTCATCAGGCAAACCTGTTTTACTGTTTTGAGAGTGCTACTTGATTCTTTTTAGAATGAAAGTTCCATGTGTGTGACTAATTAGAGGTGATAGGAAGTCTTGGGTCTTCAGTATTCCAAATTCTGAACTCTGCATATCTCATGTGACTCTTAGGGAAGAACGTGATTATGTTATGTATCTATAGAGATGGTACTACTTGCTAGTGACTAGTACAAGCAGTGCATCTGTGGAGAATTAAGGGAAAATGATAGTGGGGATTGAGTGGGTAAGTAATATAGAGAAGGAGTAGAACAAACTCCTGATACTTGAGGGAGGTGAAGTTTAAAGATGGATTTTTTGGTTTCCCCTAGTGACAAAGTTTTCAGTATGTTAAATAAGACCGAAGAAAAACCCTTAAATTTGGATTATGGCAGAATTAAAGAGAAATCAAAGTTTTATTAAATGTAAGCCACAGAAGTTCACAATTGCAGTGAAAACTACTCTGACTTTCAGAAGCACTGTCTCTAGCTGTTCTGTGCATGATGCTGTTCTTCTGAGTGGGTGAAAGAAAATAACAAACTAACATTCCAGACAAGCAAACTGTTTGTTTTTCTTTTCCATGCTACTGTACTCCTGACCACAGGTAGCAGTAGGCGATATTGTGAAGGTCACCAATGGGCAACATCTTCCAGCAGACATGATCATTATATCTACCAGGTATCCAGAATGGGTGTGGAAATGATGTGTCTGATGAACTGAGGTGCAGAGGACTTAAATCTCTGTATTTGCTATTAATAAAACCAGACATCAGATGGCACTAATTCTACTCCACATCTAAAATCAAATTTCAGCAATGTCAAAACACTGCTTTACTAGGCAACAATTCACGTATCATTGTAGATAGGCTCTTCAAAAAGAAGGCTTCTTCAAGACTTCACTTTGTCAGTTAGAAGTACATGATGCTATGTACTGATGAGTTTGTTGGAAGACTGAAGGTCCTTTACACAAGCTTCATGCAGTCAGTGGCTCTATGGCCTTCTGAGAATCCTTCTACTTAATTAAGGAAGCTTGAATTTTCTTCCAGTTAATTCCACTGAGTGTTCAACATATTTTCCTTCCCCCCAGGAATGCTTTCTCTTTAAATTGTAAATCTAAAAGGCCAGGCTGGTTGGCATCAAATAACAAAAGCTTTTTGACTTGTTAACTGCTTGTCTTGGATACAATGCACATCGGGGCAATCTCTGACATGGCAGCAAATAGCAACCTGTTGAGTTCTGCTTGGTTTAGTTTGACTGTGGGACAACTTTTCAGCTAGATATGCTGACAAATGAAGCTTGGTCATAGAATATCCTGAATTGGAAGGCACCCACAATAACCATAGAAATGCAGCTCTTGGTCCTGGGTAGGACACACCAAGAATCATGCCAAGTGCCTCAGAGCATTATTCAAATGCTTCTTGAACTCTGGCAGGGCGGGTGCTGTGGCCACTTCCCTGGGAAGTCTGTTCCAGTGTCCAGTCACCCTCTTCAGTGGGTGAAGAATGTTTCTGTAATAGCTAACCTAAATCTTCCCTGACACAGATTCATGCCATTGCCTTGGGTCCTGTCGTTGGTCACCACGGAGAAGAGATCAGTGCCTGCCCCTCTGCTTCCTCTTGTGGGGGAAGTTATAGACCACAGTGAGGTCTCCCTTCTATCTTTTCCTCTCCAGGCTGAGCAAGCCAAGTGTCCTCAGCTGCTTCTTATGTGGCTTCTCCTCAAGACACTTCACCATCTTTGTTGCCCTCGTACAAACACTCTCTTATATCTTTATATCTTTCTTGTGGCATCCTGAACTGCACACAGGATTTGAAGTGTGACTTCACCGGAGCAGAGCAGAGCTGGACAATCACCTCCTTTTGACTGGCTGGCGATGCTTTGCCTGATGCCTCCCTGGGCACAGTTGGCCCTCCTGACCAGGAGGCGCTGCTGACTCATGATTAACTTGTTATTGACCAGGTCCCTTTCCATGGCACTGCTTGCCAGTGTCTCATTCCCCAGTCTGTACATACATCCAGGGTTGCTCTGCCCCAGGTATAGAATCTGGCACTTACCTTTGTTAAACTTCATATGGTTGGTGGTTGCCCAACCCCGTAATTTGTCTAGGTCTCTTAGTTCCTAAAAGTACTTCAGTGGTACTTGGCTTGTAATCTAGATTCTGTATTGTGTAGAACAACTTGAAGCCATATCAAGACCATAGTCTGCTTAGACAGATCAAGTTTAAACATAAGACAATATCACACAATATTGTGATGGTAATAGCAGACATTAGCACAGTTCCTGTTCTTAAATGTGTTTCTAATACCTGACTCATATGACACCTTGCTGTTCTCCATAATTTTCTCCTGTCTGTGTGCTTTTCAACAGCGACTGCAGGTTGCCCTGGTCTGTAGGTCACAGTTCTCTTACCTAACCTAACTTTCAATGGAACTTGTTTTTCAAGCTTCTCTGTTTTCTGCTCCATCCTTCTTGTCTATCCTGTTGCTGGGAGGTTTCATTTTTTTCAAAGCTATATGTAGAAGCTTAGTCTTTTTGAATTACCACATGATAAAGGATAGAGATATCCTCATTCCATGGTATACAGTATTTTATTTTTTTAAAACAAACACCAAACTTCAAATAAGCAGTTGTCAACCTTAATATGCAGTTAGGCTAAGCTTTGACATCACTAGTTTTCTGTTTCAGCAATGAAGAATATTCTACCTAATACCTTCTCTAATATGTTACACTAAAAACTCCTTCTGATATATTTCTTAACTTGTGTGGATCTGCTTTTTGTTCTACATTAGTCTACTATTCTGTTCCACTAACCTGCTGTCATTAATAACCACATAATAGTTAGAGAATTTAACCCAAGTCGTGTTAATTTGGGAGAAGCTTTGCTTGAAATAAATGGCAATTTCTATGGCAATGCTGCTTTTCAATTGGTATTCTCATGATTCCTTTAAATGACAGTACTAAGTGTCCTCAGTTCACCAGAAAGCTCTGCATGCTCTGAAGGTTTTGGGGTCTTATGCTTGTGTGTTGTCTTCTGTGTCTGAGCTGATTGTCAGAGGTGAAACAAACAGCTGTTTTTATCTTGACTCTTTTTCCACATAGGAAAAAAGGGGACATCAAATGAATTTTTTGTAAAGAATAAATTTATGTGAGGGAAAAAAAAACCCCATTTGATTCCAAACACAACTCTGTATGGAAACACTTCCACATTTCTGTGGAAACGAGAGGAACTGTATTGCAGAAAGTCTCCCTCCTGACCTAAGCACTTCAGTTGTAGTAGATAAGGTGTTTGGCAGAGGTAAGATTGGCATCGAGCTGGACTTCATCAGTGTTTTTCTTGGGTTCAGATTGACATTGCCCGTACAGGAGGAGACAAAGAACAGACTCTAACTGTATTATTTTTTAAACAAAAATTTGGAGAGAATAATCTAGTTTGTTACTGTATTACAAATGTACCTGTCCATTTCTTAATTGTTTTTGACCTAAGGAGTCTTTATTACTGACTCTTCTGCTGATTGAGTACCTTTGCTATTAAAGCAGTTTGTTGTTTTGGAAGCAAACTGGCAATGTATCAAGAATATGGGAAGTGATATGCTGAAGAAGCACTTGTTTGAATCCAGGTGGGAAACGGATGTTCCTTAGCAGCCTGAGAAAACAACTCAGGCAGAGAAGGCAGAAAAATCGTTTTGGTGGTTCCATACAAAATTTATAAATCTTGAGTGGTATGTCAGGAAAAGAACTGGTGGTATGCCTTCCTTATCAAAGGTGCTACCCATGCAGAACCCCCTCCATGTTAGATGTAGATAAGAGCTTAACTAATGGAAAATTCAGCTCTATGAGGAATATTTTTAGCTCTATTCCTAAGGGCAGAAGCATCTTTGGAAGATGGAGATCACAGCCCTCAATCTCAATGGACCTTTTTCTGGTGCTCAAAAAAAAAAAAGGTGTTTAGCACTGACCTCCACAAGCCCCTCAGCTTTAAAGTGACCTTGCAGACATGGTCTTTAGTATGCTCAATTCACAGAGAGAACTCAGTAGCAGAGAGCATTGCCCTCTTCATTCCAATATATCCCTTCTTTATACAGTTCAATAATTGGTATTTTGTCCATAGTTCTTGCAATCTGAAGCAATTTTATGGATTACAATTCAAAATAATCTACTTCAGGCATCTAAGTTTGTTAAATTCTTACTAACCTTCTGATTTAGACTTGTCTTTCTCTGTACTTATGGTGTATTACCCTGTTCCTATCCAAAGACGTCTGTGTTAAATATGTACTTTGAGCTGACTCTTTCATAGTTGAATACCACCATTGTGGTTTTTTGTCTTCTGCAGTGTACTGGAAAAGTCTCTTGTGGACTATATTGGTGCAAAAGCAGTATACAAAAAGTACTGAGTTTTTAATATTGAAAATCTTATGCTCCTTCCAGTGAACCACAAGCCATGTGCTATATTGAAACAGCTAACCTCGATGGGGAGACGAATCTTAAAATACGACAGGTAAAACAAACTGAATTTTGTCTTTGATTTTTTTCATTTAGTTAAGTAATATTAGCTATGAAACTGCATCTACCTTAATTGACAACAATACAAGTCCTTTTTTTTTTTTTTTTAAATAAAAAAAAAAAGGCATCTCAGGTGACTGTAAACTGCCTTTTCAACAGATACAAACCCAAGCAACAGTGCATCATATAGAAATGTATAGGAACTAATCTGGAGCAAGTATATGAAGCCCTAAAAGACAAACAGACCTTGGTTGTGTTTTTCCTAAGGTCCACTAAGTGGGATTTAAGTCCTGTACATAAAAAAGATTAGCTATACTTGTGATGAGAGGTGTAGTTTCTTCTGTCACTAGTAACATTCTATGAGCGTTACGCAGACGCTGAGAAGGACCTGTTATATGTTTATCTCTTAGCTGTAAGTAGTGGAATTTATTTGAATCTTTCTAATTTGATTTTAATCAACGCTTTTGATTATAGCGTTTAGAAATAGTTAAGTATCTTTTTTTTTCATTAAAAAAATCAGATTTGGATTTTGAAACACAGATTATTTGTTATTAAAAATTTGTATATTTGCTGTTTCTTTACTGCATTTGTAGAAATGTGATTTACTGTTGCAATTCTACCTAAAAAGTCAGGTCTTGAGTTTCTGTAGGATCTTACTTCCTTTGGGACACATGGTTAAAATACAAAAACATGACCTTGCTCTGGCTTGCAGTGCTGCAGTCAAATTCTGGCAAAAGAAAGACAAAATGGATCCATCTGTTCACAGATGAAAAGCAGTGGAGCACTGTACATGTAGACTGAGATGGAGAAACAATACATTAGATTACAGTTGCATGGCAGGTTGATCATTAACCTCAAGCAGAATCAGAGCGTAATGGCTGCCGTGACCCAAGGGACTACACTTAGCAATGACTATATTTAGCAACAATAACATATCAGTGGAATTATACTTCAAGAGAAAAGCCAGGCCTGTTTATACTGCTTCTCTTCTACTTCCTCTTGTTTGTGTGCAGCTTTGTGCTTTGTGGATGGAACTTTGTTCTTGGTTAAAGAGAGATCACATAGGTAATATAACTATCGTGTATAGAGAGTCTAAATCGATCTTGTTAGCAAGTTCATATGTGTCTGTAATGAATCTTCCTTGCACCATTTTCTTAGGTTGCCCTCTGATAACAATTTTTGACAGTCTCTTCTGATTTGGTCTTTGCAGGGCTTGTCTCAAACTGCTGGTCTCCAGTCGAGGGAAGAATTGATGAAAGTATCTGGGAGGATAGAATGTGAAGGACCCAACCGTCATCTTTATGACTTCACTGGAAACTTGCGCTTAGATGGCCAAAGGTATTAACTTGACAACAAAGCCCAAGTCACTTGGTTTGGGAAAATGTTTGTTGTGTTCTTTTAGTCTGTAACAGTGAGCACATGCATGTATTTGCTGTGGAAGATGAGAGTAATAATTAATAATAGACCATCTGCCAGGATAAGATAACACAGTTCTGTCTTTGTATGGAACCTTTTGCTTGTTATGGGAGTCTTGGTTTCTTTGTAGTTATGGTGATTTTTTTTTTTTTTTAAATGGTACATATAAAGAGAAGGAGTCAGGGAAATGGTGGGAGTTTTTGGGACCTTCTTGTTACACAAGATACTCTGAGGAAATAGAAACCTCTCCCTTCCAGCTAGAGCCAAAGGGATGCACCAAGGTCAGGTCTATAGAGAAAAATGATCCCAGAATCTGGAGGCTTTATCAGTGTGACTTTGATTTGTTGCGACTCTTGGAAGAAAAATACTTAGTACTTGAATTCACAGATTTTGAAAGGTCGGTAGGAACATGAAGGTTTCATTTGGCTGTACCTGTTTTCCTTCACAAAACCTGTATTCTTTGGGCAACTCAACTGTGTACTTAGTGGCAGATGGAAGAATAACAGATCATCATTTGCATCTCACTTGAAAGTCATGTGGGTAACAGTTTTTCCCAAATGCTTGTGTAATGGTATATGTGATAAAGTATGCATGGAGTGGATGGACTCTTTGCAAGTGTGATGCTTCTCTGTCCTTGATGCGAGAGAGAAAGTAGTAGCCAAGGTCAAGTTCAAAATAGACTTATATCTGCCATGTAACTTTTCAGGTTTTGAATAATTAGAACAGATCCCTTGTATCAGCTTTGCCCTACTGTGCTTTTGCAGGAAGTAGACTTGCAGAGGCTTCAGTGCTTTCTTAAGTTGTGTGGACAGTCTAAGGTCATGGCATTACTTTCTCCCACCACTCCCACTGGCGTGTAAGTCTGAAAGTAGAATTACTGTCCTTAGAGTGTTACCAAGAATTGAAAGATACACTTCTTGCTTTGCAGCCCGGTTCCTGTTGGTCCAGACCAAATCTTGCTGAGGGGTGCACAACTGAGAAACACTCAATGGGTCTTGGGTATTGTTGTGTATACAGGACATGATACAAAACTCATGCAGGTAAAGTTTTTAAGGAGATTTAAATATAAGCTGGTCATCTTTCCTGTATTCTCCATGTCATGATTTGATTTTATGAAATGCTTTGACTCATTATAGCTGTTAAAGACCTGGAGGCCTCAAGGAATTCAAGGGTACTCTTGTATTTGAGTTTGCATGTGCACACATGTAAACACTTATTGAAGTATTTGAAAGCAGTTCAATATGTGAGAACTAACTTTAATTTTGTTTTATCTGGTAGCTGGATGACATTTAAAACTCAGATTTAACAGCTGAGGACATAGTCAAGACCGTGGAGTTGATTAGATTAATACTACTATTGCCCTAATGGCAGGGAGTACCTGGAGAGACCAGCAATATGTATGTGTTGCTCACTGCTGCTGACCAACAGTGGATGGGCAGGGAGTGCTTTAATGGCCTCTGAAAATAAAGACCGAGTTTGCCTCTGTAATTTTATCTTGTATAAACCATTGCCAGGCTCTTTTTTCTTTTCTTCTGCTGCTGTTTAGAATTCAACCAAAGCACCTCTGAAGAGATCAAATGTGGAGAAAGTGACCAACATGCAGATCCTGGTTTTGTTCTGTATTCTCCTGGTAATGGCCCTTGTGAGTTCTGTAGGTGCCTTATTATGGAACAGAACACACGGCGAAGTCGTCTGGTACCTTGGCTCCAACAGTGAGTATGCAGGCATTGAGCCAGGGATGTATCAGACTGTAGGGCCAACCAGGCTCTTAGGTTCATTAAATGAGTGCATAAAATAAGAAATAGAAGAAGAAGAAACAAAGCCTCTTTGCTTTGCCAGTGAGGCTTCTGTTAATAAAGCCTTCCGAAGGTTAGGTAAACATCACTGGGCTACCATCCAGGGAACAGGGCAGAAACAGAAGAGGGGCAAGAATTATTACTGGATATCTGGTGTTCACGTTCTTTAATCTCTGTGGAGATACCATACACAAATCGACAATACCCATATTACCATGCACAAATTTATTCTCAGAGAAGGTCACATGCTGCTGCCTTACATGTGTCTTACTGCATGATAGACAGTATCAAGCTGATGATGCTGACTTCAACTTCGTGCTTCTATGCGGATGCCAAGGATTTCTCTTAACTTTTTTTCAGTCAGAAATGCTGATCTGCTCTTTTATAGAAAACTTAAATGCTAAATGGTTAGAATCCTTATTTATTGGCTAAAGTTTTTGTCTTTGACTCCTGTTATTTTGTTGTGAGAGAACTGATATTTTAGTGTGTTTATTTGAAGGGTTTTTTTTTTATTTCATTGATAATCCTTGAACTTATTTGTTCAGTATCAAAGACAGACATGAGGAAGGAAGTGCCATCCAATAGACTTCTATTTTGAGGTTATATTCGCTATAAAATGTTGTTACAAGCATCTTTAGATGCAGATCTTAAAACAATTATCACAAACTGCAAATGGCTTGTCTGCTGATGATTGCAACCCAGATGGCAAGTGTAACTTGTGCAGTTTAAGAATTGCAGTTGTGGTAGTAATGAAAAAAAAAAATCCCATAGGAAGAGCAGGGAAATGGCTCATTTTTGACTCTGGGTTTTTGTAGTTGGAATGTCTTCTACTAGTAGTGTCAGCAACTTCCAGAGTTTCTTGCCTGCCCTCCCCCTTGTTTCTTAATGAGTAAGTTTAAATTTGTGCCTTCCAGTGGTGGGAGCAATACTGGAAAAGGCGAATTGAGTGAACTCTTGAACTTGTAATATAAAATCTGTTCAACTTGAAATAAACTAGGATGACATAATAGTCTGTATAGATGCCTTTTTGTAAATTAAATGCACAATTTCTATTACTTCTCTAATTGCCACATGCAAGAAAGACACTTTTTCAGGTTATGCGGGTAGATATTAATTTTTTTGTTAAATGTCAAATCTCTGTAAAAATTGTATTGTAAAATGTTCCAGTACCAAGCAAGTTTTTACTTTCTGTAAACTTACCAAAGATATGGAATTAGGGTGTACTCACACTTGGAGGTACCTGTGTCCAGACTGATCTTCACTAGGCTTCAGCAATTTTCTCTGGGTTCTGTCTCCTCCTGCTTGGCTTCCCTGATCTCTAATTCACTTGTAATGCTGAAAACTTAGTTATGAGCTCTGACCCCATTGTGTTGGATGTTCTGTGTGCTGACTGTAGTGCCTCCCTAAGCTTCTAGGAAAGTGAAGAGCATATAAACATGGAGACTTTGGTTGTAAAGAGAGGCTCTGGGCAGGACCATGAGAACAGGAGCTTTCATCCTCTGTCTCTGCTGAGCCTTGTACATTCCTGCTGGCTGACTGTAAATGCTTTCCTTTCCCTTTTAGGACCAGTTATGGCGGAAGACTTACTCAGGCAACCTGCACAATGTTGTCACCATTAATAACAGCTTCTTTGCTTAAGCAGGATGCCTTAGTTCATTTACTAGGTGTCTGTTCAGCATTTGATTGTTCTGTTAGATTTCTTTAGTGTGGGTAACTTCTCAGTTCTGACGATGATGTCAGATTTTAATTTTAGTGTTTATTTTTTGTTTCCTAACTCCCCTGAGACAAGTAGGCACTTTCTGAAAGATAGTTATATTACTAATGTTATTGGTGTCTCTTAATTGGGCAGTCGACACATCAGATAAATGTCTAAATTTGGGTTATAGTGGGAAATATTGTACTTCTCGCCATCTGTTTAGCAAAAGTTTTTCAGAAAGTTTTCTGTTCTTTAATATATAGCCTCACAAATCTTGCCCTTCTTCACCTGGCATAATATGCTGTGTATTCAGGCATGTGTTCTGTGGGTGTTTTATATATATACTATTAAAATCAATATTAAAAAGGTGTCAATATACTAGGTGTCAATATACTTGCTGATTATTTTAGCACTACTAAATCTGACTAGGCCAACTGCATGAAGAGAGATGGTTGCCCCTATACTCTCCCTATACCATAGGACTTGTGTCTGCTCATGTTCTTTGTCTTTTGGTCCACAGAAATGCTGTCTGTGAACTTTGGATACAATCTGCTGACCTTTATAATCTTGTACAACAACCTTATTCCAATCAGCCTTCTGGTGACATTGGAAGTTGTCAAGTTTACTCAGGCTCTTTTTATAAATTGGGTAAGTAACAAGAATGTTTGGGGTTTTTTTTTTTTTAAATGTCAACATCCAGAACTGAGATATTTTCAAACACTTAACATCTTTGAGACTTTTAATTAATGATGCAACTTCTGGGAAAGGCAGGGGAAAGCTCAAAGGATTTATTCTGTATCAGTTCTGTGTTTCGCAGGAAATTAAAATACTTAGTCGTAGGAATGTCCCCTGCACAAATGATGAATTGTATTTTAGGCCTTTAGGATGAGAAGGAAGTCTCAGGTCTTGGTGAACCGACTCATGTTCAGTAGTTATCTTTTGAAAACTGTTCAGTACTTTATACCTCTTCTCAGCCACAGCAGAGGGAAAGACTAGACTTGTTTGAAGATGTGGTATTGCTTTTTGGTTTTTTTTTGATAGTTGTTGTGGTTTGTTGTTTTGGTTTTTTTTTAATTATTATTTTTATTTTATTTTATTTTTTTTTTTAAATTTTCCAGTATGGATTGTATTTTTGCAAGGAGAGAAGTTGATGGTGCCTTATGCAACCAAACAGTGATCTTGCTGAGTTCAGGCAAGCTTTGACTTCAGAAATGTCTTTCTCTAGTTGTGGACCAAAAATACTGTAGTGATGTCTCTTAAGCTGAACAAAACCGAGAGGAATACTTTGTGCTGGTATGCATTAATCGGACTTTCAATAATGTAGTAGGTTCATAAAAATACAAGTAAATGAAATCTAATGTGTCTGTTCCCTGAACTGCTTATGATGTAGGAGAGATGCTTTTCTGAGAAATTGCTTTGGTTTGTGTAGCAGCTGGAATTTTTTAATCACAATAAAATGTAGTAACAGAAGGAATTAATTTCATGAAGCCATTCAAATTGTCTCCAGGCACAGATGTGGCTAAAGCAACTAATTGTTGTAATTGAAGACATACGATTAGCATGGCAAATGCCTATTAGAACTCCCTGCCGTACTGTGTTATTTTTTTTCTGTTGCATCTCCAGTTGGTTAACTATCTGTAGTTAAATCTGGCTTTTCTCATGTACATGTAGTATGGAGGTATGCTTTGGAAGGGAGGCACCCATATTCATCCTGTGATGTTTGTCTCAAGCCTTCAGAACGTCCACTAATGGCATGAAGACAGTCAAACCGGATTGGAGCTGACTAAAAGAATAATGGACACTTGAGTGTTTAATAATATAGGTCTAATTTTGCTCTCATTTCAGGACATAGATATGTATTACCCTGAGACAGATACACCTGCAATGGCCAGAACCTCAAACCTTAATGAGGAACTTGGACAGGTAAGACAACACTTTCTTCAGTGTCATGCTTGTGATTTATTCTGGCAAGATGGAAAGTATGAGAGCAAACTGTACAAGTTTGCTTTATTCTGTTGCTCTGTGGCTCAGCTTAATGGGACATGTTTGTCATTAGTCCAAGTCTTACAAGTAAAATAATGAGATATTGTAAGATTAAATTTAACAAAGGCAGTTTTATGCTTGGGAACTGAAACTGTTTCATATGCTCACTCTAAACTGACTTTTTTTTTTCTCAAAGGTGTTGGGGAGATGATTTGTGGTTGTGACTGTCTATACCAGGACAGAATGTATAGGACTAAGCTTGGCTGAAGAGGAGGCCAACAGCCTCAACCTGTCTTCTTAGTTCTTGATGTTTCTGATTGCCTCACAGGAGATGGGGGTTAAAACAAAGCAGTTTTATTCCTAATTTATCCTGTGTTCCTTCAAGAATTTCATTTTTCAACAACTTGTAGTTGTTGTATATTTGTTTATTCTGCAGATGACATTTCTTCAAAATAGAAGGGATTCTCAAAACGCTCTTACTAGAAAATACAATGTTGCTATTTTGTAGTACCATTGAAAAATCCTAGCTTTTTTCTTGACCATCGGTCATAGGTCTTTAACTGACGCTCATGAACTTAGTAATTGTGTGATTTGGTATTAAAGACAATGTTTATACACATAATATACATAATTGTTGTGTGCTACTCAGCAGAGTGGGAGTCAATGTTCTTCCTTTTTAAGCTGATTGGTCTTTTTGAATGCTAAAATGTGTTTTGTGTTCAGATTACTTTGATGTGAACTTATCAACCTCTAAATTATGGCACTATTTCTGTCTGAAGATATGTGGCATAATGTATATTGTTGACCCATATGTTATTTTCAGAAATTAATTACTAGTGATTCTGTGTAACTAGACTGAGTTTGTTGATTCATTAACTGAATTGCCTGTTCACAGGTGCCTTTAAATTTCTTTTTCCTGTAGAATTTTTTAATGTCTTGAAGTTCCTCAGATGTTTGGGGGTACTCACTTTGACTTCTGACTCACACAAACTCTATTTCCAATGCCATATTCAAGGAGCAGTGTAGAGCACAGATAAAGGATGACCTAACTGGTAGTGTAGTGCACTGTCTTGAACTGAATTGCTTTTTCCAACTCCTGGCAAAATATTTTGGTCTTTAAATTGCTTAACTTCTATGCTAGCACCATCCATTCCTACATGTTGCTGATTGAAAATCATACCTGGTGCAGAGTTGTGGTATTTAACTTGCAATTGTTTTTGGTCTGTTGTAGCCCACTGCAGGTGGGAATCTTTAATCTGCTCATGCTCCAAGATGTCATGTTGCTGTGTTGGGGTGGCCTCCAAGTCTTACCTGAAAGTCACTAGTTCCATTAAGGGATTGTTAATTTGAGCAGTGCTGACTGTGGCTGTGTCTTGCACTTATGGACTGTTCATGACTGGATACCAGAAAAAGAAGCTTTTGTTTGACTACAGGATACCAGTTGAACATACCCTAGCATATTCCTTGCACTTTATTACTTACGGGGGGAAAACCACCCCAAACGCATTCTCATTGATCTTTGGAACACAGAATTTCTTCTGTGTGTTAAATTGTACTGACCCTTAAACAATCTTAGGAGTTTTTGGTTTAGTTTCCAGTCTTGCTCTTTGATTTCAGTGCAGCGCAAAGATTTGGTGAATGTCCAGCTGGCACAACCAACTACATCTGTAGTGACCACTCTAGAGCCTTGGCAACTGATACCTACTGTTTGAGCTTTTCTACATTTAGAGATCAAGAAGTATTAATGCCATTAAACAACTTTCCTGATTATTTTTCTGTAGATCTGGTAGACAAACCAACCTGTAATAAGCCTGCGTTGACTAGTATTGTGACATTGAGTAATAAGTTTCTTTATCTGTCTTCCACTTTAAGTTTTGTAACTTTACAAGTTGAAAACTAGACTTATTTTTTTCTTTCAGGTAAAATACCTGTTTTCTGATAAAACAGGCACTCTAACATGCAATATCATGAACTTTAAGAAATGTAGTATTGCTGGAGTGACATACGGGTAGGTATGACTCTTAAAAACTCGCTAGCTTAATGTGTGCTTACTGGTACAGACTTTTATATTGGAAAAGGATTAGAACATTCTGTTCTTCAATTTATATTTTAGTATGTTTTGTGGTCTTAATTAATAGTTTTAATTTTCATGTCCTGCAGCAACAAATTATGAAAGTCAAACCTGTGGAGTAAACATGAAGTACAGGCAGCTTGCTTCCTAACTTACCTGATCATAATTTAAACAAAAGAAGTAGTGCTAAATAACGTCTGGCCTTTCAAGAGGGAAGAAGCTGCAGCCCAAGGGTAGCAATTATTAGTCATGTTTCTGTGACTTGTTCAGATGAACCAGGATTTTGTTAGAACAGTGTAGCTCTAATTATAGAGTTTGATATTCCTTGCCTAGGGATACCTACTTAACTGGTTTTGTTCTGCTTCTCTCAAAAGGATCCCTTTGAGTCATGCCAGTACTCCTTAGCACTTGGCCTTTCGAGTCTTGCATGCTAAATCTTTGTATTTGCTTAGTTTTAAATGGGTAGTCTTAAGATTTCTGTGCAAGTTAACCTTTGAATTTCATGGCAACTAAATTAGATACCTTAAGAGGCAGAAAACTTGATTCAGATGTATGAACAGCTGAACCCATGGTTCCAGCATATGTTTTTGTGTGATGACTCATTGATCTTCGCCTTCTATATTTTTTTTTTTGTTACCAAAGTGGAATAAATGTTCTTTTCATCTTTTTCTACCCCTCAGTCACTTCCCTGAGCTGGAAAGAGAACGCTCATCAGAAGACTTCAGGTAAATATATTCCAGGATGTTTGTGCTCTGTATAGCAAAGTGGGAACAATCTATATAAAGACTACTTTCCAATTTGGGACTGGAAGAAGCCCAAGGGAGCAATGTGTTTGAGTAAAATGGTCTTTCAGTGGGAGCCTAATGCAGAGCTGGTGGGTGGTGATGGATCTTCTCCTCTGCATAAAGAGATGGTGTGTGACAGGGGTGAGAAATAGGCAGCGGCTGGGGTGGCTTGGATGCTAATGCAGTGCTTATTTATAAATGCAGACAGTCAAGTTAAAAGTTAACTGCTTTACAGTAACCTTACCCCTTAGCTAGAGACAAGATGTTACTCTTTTTAATCACTAAGTTCAGACCTGACAAGGGGAAGAAAAGGGACTTCTTTGTTAAAATGCTATATTTTAGTAATCAAATTGGGAGAGAGTTTGATATATATATATATATAGGTGTATCATGTCAAAAGAATCCTACTCCTTTTTATTTGGAACTTTAATGAATAGAGGTAGTGGATCTGTCCCATTCCATAGGAACAAGTGAAAACCCAGGGGTGTTAGAGGTGTCAGTGTAGCACATTGAGGTTATCCGGAAAAGGGGGAAGAGCCAGGGAGGACTGACATGGAGTTGAATGGCAAATATAGCCAAGAAGTGAGTTCCCACTCAAGAAACAGGTAAACCCTGAATGCTGTTAGAAGAGCACTTGACTATGAGCTAAGCTGGGCTTCTCCACTGGCACAGCATGTGTGTATTATCATCTTTCAGGAATGTGATACCATGATAGGTTCCTGCTTGTGCTGAGATGTAATTTCTATTGGTGCCTCTTTTCTTCCAATATAATGCTGTTTCTTTAATTGCTATCTTTTATTTCCCTGTACATTTTTTTTTTTCTAGTCGGTTCTGTGGAAGTTTCTTTCAGGTACTTATATGGACTACTCAGACTTAAAATCCTCCAGGGGTCAACTTTTGAAGCAGAACTCTGAACAGGAAGGGACCTTAGGGATATTGAACTTTGTTCTATTTTTTAAGCAAGTTGCCTTGAAATACATTTATTTCAAGTATGCTTGAAAACTGTTTTTTGCAACATCTGTCCCAGGAGGTGCATTGACACTTGAATCTTCTCAAATACACTGTCAATAATAACCATTTCTTGCTGCTGCTTGTTTTTAGCACTTTCTGCATTACTTATATAATCTTTTCATAATACTTTCAAGGGCACTGGAGTCTTATTTTGTTTTTAAACTTGCTTCCTGAGAAAATAGATGAAGTATTAAGATTGGCAATGTTGCCACTTGTTTCAATACGCTTGTTTTGCTCTGCAGCCAGCTACCTCCTTCCACGAGTGAATCATGTGAATTTGATGACCCAAGACTGCTGCAAAACATTGAAAATGATCATGTAAGTGTACTCTTTGAATATCGTGCCTCTTAAATGCCCTCTTCTAGCCCCGTCTGGAATTGAATGCAGAACAGATCTATTTGCGTGATGAAGTCTGCTCCATGAGTGTGTCATGCAAGCATTCAGGGATAACAAGGAATCAAAATAGCTCCCTCCAACAGCTTTCTACCCACTTGTCTTACTATTGAATTAAAGAAGCAGTGGCATCGATATGGGTACCTATAGAACAGCTTCATATATGCTGTCGTATATGGAAGATATGACATTACTTGGTACTTTTTGTAGTAAGTAATGATAAAAATGGTAATTCCTTAAAAGAAAAACTACTCACAGTTCAAACATCTGTACTGTTAAAATATTGTTTTTAACAGTAACCTATAGCATTAGAAGGTGGTTCTGGTATGAGCCTTGCTTCAAGTATTGCAAACATTTGGAATTTAAGTTATGTAAAGGATATAAGGGATGAGACTTAATTGCAAACCTAAGCTTAGCATGAGGCTTAGTAATTAGGAATTTTAGCCTAGGTGGTAGAGTCCTAAGAGTCATAGTCTTTAGGGTGCCAGTTCATTATTTGTTCAGAAATCATGTGGCTATGAAGTGTCTGACTGGACACCAGACAATTCAAACACTTGGAAAAAGCATGACCCTTGTTCTCTGCAGGCTGTCTCTCAGTATGGGATCTGAGCATTGGCAAGCACAAACTCCAGCAGCTGATTTGTTGTTTTTCGACAATATACCTTCTATAACAGAGATGGTTAAGTTTAATTATGAGCATCTCAAATGTAGTTGCAACATACTGTGTGTCTGCAGGAAAGCTTTGTTTTCTGCTGTACAGTACTTAAGAACTTGAAATGCAGCAAGGTATAAATATCTGAATGAATTCTTAATTACTTGATGTGGCACTACATAGTCCTCATGGTGATGGAACCTAAAGGTGGTTCCTGTGCTCTAACCTACATCAAGGTGACCCTCCCAGTATGGTGCACTGGTTTCCTATGTGGCTTTTGTAGTCACACTCACTGGAAGGATTTTCCGCTGGACATCACTTGCAGCGAAAACATGTATCATCCTGTTACTTTTTGTCCTGTTTGTGCATTTATGTCTAGAGTTATGTCTTGTGGCAGTTGCTGACTTCAGGTGTTCATTCTGGTTTAAGAGTAGGCTGCAGATAAAGCTTGCTTGCGCTCTTGCTGGCTGCTGTACAGAGAAGCGCTCTGATATATTTTAGTAGATTCAGCAGAAGGGACATATATCAAATGAGTTGTGAGATGGAATGTCTCATCTAGCCTTGAGATAGCCCCTTATTTTTGGCTATTTACTTATTTCATCTTCTCCGTGTAGAGTTTCTACCTTGGGAGATAGAAGAAATGTTTGCTGTTGTAGCAGGCAGATCAACAATTTTGGTAGCTTCTTTAGGTGTCACTGCGTCTAGACAGCTCAGAAGTCTTTGTTCTTTACATGCTGAGTCTTATGTATCAAGCTTCCTTTTGGGTGGGAACTTAAATGGATAAAAACAGTTGTCATTGCACTGCTGACGGCCTGAGCACAGAGACAGTCAGTGGTGAAACTTCGGGCTAGTAAGACTGAAGATGTGCCTTGTGTAGGCCAGAGATGTCCTTCAGAGCCTGACTGTACTGGAGGAATGGGTACCACCTACTGGCACATGGTCATTTGATACAGAATATGGGAATTCAAGGACTACATATAACAGTTTGCTTGGCACATTCAGGAGTGTTTGTTAGACTGCGTTGGTGAGGGCTGAACTCCAGGATAGTGGCAGAGGAAAGGGTCTGTAGCTTTTTTGCATTTGGTCAGCTGCTAATGTGTATAAATTGCTTCTGTCTAAAGCTCCATAGTGTCTTATTTTTCATAGCTAGTAGATAGCTGCAGATGACATTTGCAGCTGTATGACAATTTCTACTCAGTTTGTGAACTGAGGTGGTAAAACTGAAATGTTCTAACACAAGTTGCCTAGTGGGGCTAGGTGGTACTCTGCTTAGTTGGGCAGTTAATTCCCTTTAAACATTTGACCTTTTGCAGCTGAAGCTTAAGTTCTCATTGCTTTGGTCTTGAAGAATTTAGTTTTTTTTTTTTTTTTCCCAGTCCAGTCACAAGTGTTAGTTTAGAGCAGTCTCAGTGCCAAGTAATTTTCTTTCCAGGTTGAAAATAAAAAATTATGTACTTAGACTCCTGAGACTGTCTTCCATCTGCTAGGAAGATTTTTAGCATCCTGTGTCACCTCTAAATTTCATAGCTCTTCTGGGCCACTGGTGTGTAAGGGCTGATTGATAGCCAAGCTCACTCTTGAATAGCAGTTCAAGAATTATTGCCCCATAGGAAATGTTCCAAGGAAAAATAACTTTCTTGAAAACATGTGGAGGTTTCTCCTGCCTGCTCTGGGATTTTAATGTGGAAGAAAGTACCTAGGTTTGTTTGTCTGTGCTTTTTCTTGGAGCTGCTTCTGTTGGGTGAACTCTGAATGATGCTGTCTCCTCTGTATAGAGAAAATGGCATAAACTCTTAGTCTAGTAAGAAAAGAGCAGTTGTTTTCTAAGACTAGAAAAAATGTTTGGTGAATATGCTAGGTGGTCTTGATCTTGGCGCTTGCTAGTTGCATATGTGCTATGGAGATACAAGCCTGTTTGGTGGGGGGGGTATGTTTTACCTGATGATAGGAGAGCAGGGAAGGAGGTCAAGAAGTGAAGGAACTATAGACTTGGATCTCATCCTGGACTCTTGCACCTCTCCAGATTCTCTCTGAACTTCATCTACCAATTCCAATTTGCCTGAGAGCTTTGTTCTGTGGCCCCCAAGTTCTCTCTTGATGCAGAAGCAGGAAAGTATAGCTGCATGAATTGATTCAGTGAGTAGTATGTGTTACGAATAGTTTAGCAGCTGGCCTGGCAGACCAGACAACTGTTGTGTCCATGTTAAGCCTTTACTACACTGTAAGTGTTTGTTTAGACCCTGCCAACGTGTCTACTTATTTTTGTGAAGTGTGTGGAAACTGAGGCTATTATCCAATCAGGCTTTTCTAAAATGACAGCTATCATCAGCTGATTTTTAATTTCTTAGGAAAGCAGAAACAGAAAAGCATATTGCCACTAACTGGGATGAAAAACTGGAATTTTGAATACAGTGGTGCAGAAAGTATGTTTAGGTAGTGAGAGCCTCTGGGAGGCTTTAATTCGGTAAGTAACTGTTGCTGGAAAATTGTGTAAACTTCTCATTTTATAGGTCACAACTAAATTGTTAGAGCTTCGTGAGAAATATTTTTCAGTTGTCTGCTTTTGTTCTTATGTGTGGGACTTTGCTGCTGATCAAGTATAAGACAGTTTCTTAATTATAGGTCCCTGTTTTTGGACAAGATGAATTTGCATTTAACTCTCTTGATTTTCAAACACTGGTTAATGTTCTCTTTGAGTCTGTACCTGAAATATCCTGGTCCTCTATGGTCTTACCAGCTTCTCTGTTCTGGAGGTGCCCAACATGGCTGGATCCTCACACTACTCTCCAGATATTTTAGTCAACAGTAGGAAGTTAACGACTTCTTAAGATGAGTCATAATTCTCCTTGGTAATCAAGTATATAAGTGTTTTTGTGGTTGTCCTTGGCAGAATTTGCCACTTTCTTCTTTGAAGGAGTAAACTCAAGTTTAATTAGACTATGCTTTAATGTCCCATTGGCCATAGAAAGGTCATTTGCTTAAAAAACTGTTAGTCATGCTCATCTGGAGATATTTTGAATGGAGGCACTGATCTCATACAAAATGGAAAAGGAGAGATGAAAAACCTCTAACTTCACATGCAACTTCCTTGGAATTTTATCAGTTGGCTAGGGAGAAGTAGTTTGTCTTCAGAGTGACAAGGCTCAGATAAGGCTATGTGTGAAATATGTGCAGTTATGTAGCTCTGTAGAGTGCAGTTTGCTTCCTGAAAGGCTGAGGTTTGGCTTAGTGTTTTGTTCCTCTGAATAAGGGAACAATGAAGGGATAAAAAGTTGTGATGGAGCTTCCTGATTAGTGGCCTATGCCTTGCTTGATAACAATTATTGCTGTGCCTTCTAGATAGCTGAACTTTGCTTTCACGAAGGATAATGCATTGTAGATAACAATCCAAAAACTGCTTCCAGAAATGGGAGACTGTTTCAGTATGTATGTGGTTCTTAGCTTGTAGGGGCAGTAAGCAAAATAATTTAGCCACTGGGGTATATCCCTGGTATAAGTGCTTGTAAATGAATTTTTTTCATGGACCTTTGGGAAAAAAAAACAAAAAAACAAAAAAAACCAGAGAAAGAATCAGTGGCTTTTACCTAGAGCTGTTGCCACACAGTGTTGCGGGGAAAAAGGCACTTAAATTGAGAACTACTTACTGGTAGGTCTGAGGAAAAAGAGACTAAAATATGCGAACTTTGTTCCAGCTACAGATAAACAGAGATTTAAAAGTGAGGTAGGGAGAAATAAGGCTTACTTTAACAAATGAGCAGGCAAGAAATGTGTCTGAGACCATCAGTAAAAATTTGACTACTAAAATATCAGAGAATTAATAGAGAAAAATAAATAATCAAGTAAGATCAGTTAACCTGTGGGACTTCTGTTCTGTACTGGGGTTAAACTTGGCGTGTTGGAAGGGTTGTGTTGCCACAGAACCTGTTAATGAATCTTCTGTTCACAGATCTGAAATTTTGAGTGTTCTGCCCTGATTCGTGCCTGTGCAACAAATATTGTCAGTATTGGAACAATATAGAAAGGAAACAAGTGACAGCTGTGTGGAGGAGCTGTTGTGATAAGCTGGGACTTTAGTGATCTGTTCCAAAGAATTGGAAGGTTGCCCTGTAATACATTGTGAGCTGTGAAAATATCAACACAGCAGCAAATTATGTTGCTAACTTGAAAACGTAAATATATACATAGGAAAAATTAAAATCCTTGTCATTACTGAGACATGTTGTTTCCAGGCAATAGACCACATACTGTGAAAGCATGTTAAGGGACTAGGTGATAAAAGTGTAAGAAGCTCACCAAAGATCTGGATGCTGAAATGAGAATTTGGCAGGCTCTGCATTTTGAGATGGAGATACAACTTCATTTGCTTTCACTGGAAATAAAGGAGAAGCAGTAATCTCCTAATTGTAATTTGCTGTGGACTTAACATTTTACACACTACTCTCTAATTGTATTCTATTTGTTAATTTTCTTGAACACAACCTCTGCACTCCCAGCATGTCACCAAGTTACAACTGTTGTTATTTTAGTGGCGTGTGACCATACAATTTGGAGGTTTCAATATGTAAAGATAAAGGTCCTGTGTGGAACAGTTACTTTGAAAATCTTCATGACAAAGTAGATGAAGTAAAACATGGGTATAGGTCTACGATCTTCAGTCTTTTTATTACACTCTTTTCTAATACTCTTACTTGTTAACACATGTTAACACAGTGTTTGCCAGCTGACATGGTTTTGTGGCTTTTTTAGTAATTTACTTCCTACTGATTAAACCTTGGTCTTGCCAGTGTGTATCCTGTGCTGATAAAAACTTTGTGAACTCTCACAGAATTTTTGCACATAAAAATATCATCTAGCTTCCAAAGTCAAGTAAGGCTTTCTGCAAAGGTAGAATGACTAAGTTCATGTCTGACTCAGTCACTGAGCAAATGGCTGCTGTGAGGAAGACGCTGATGCTACCAAGTGTGGATGTTATGGTTACACCAGAGTTAGGGAAGGGGAACCATGTGTTCACTTCAGCTGAAGTGAACCAGTTGTGCCTGGTTTTGAGCTGGGTAGCTGAGTACCATTTTTGACTGCTGTGACACTATAAATACTATGCCAGAGATGAAGATGGAGAAAAGGGGTGGGGGACTCAATTTCAAATTGCTATAACTACAGTTGCCAGAGTTGGCTGATCAGAGGCCTGTGATTGAAGTGCTGTAGCATCTTTGCTGTGGTGCAGACCTAGTGTCTGTCTTAGCACTTGGGGATGGCTGTGAATGGTGTTCTATATTCTATGATGCTGATACTGAATATGTAGGGACCATTGATTACTTTTATGCTTGGCTGGATGCTGTATTTCTGTGGAAGGGCATATGATGTTACTTTCTACTGGCTATTCAGTGGCTGTCAGCTCTGGATTTTCGTTGTTAATGGTGCAGTTGCATCAAGTTTAATTCTGATGTGGTTACTGTCACTCTATTAGAAGCTGCCATAGTAATATTTCCTGTTTGCTAGATTGTTGTCAGCTTGCGGCAGATGTCTTATATGAAGCTTGGGGTGCTACAGGACTAATGCTTTTATATTTGGGGAGGTGGGGTAATATTCTGGCTTCTCACCTCTCTTCTGCTTAAGTGAGGTCTTTATCATTAACACTCTTAATTTGTCAATGCTGGCCCTGAACTCTACTGTCTTGATCTGCTGTAAATAGAGAACAACAATTATTTTTGGTTTGTGGTACCTCTGTGGTGTTCTCAGTTTAGTGAATAGATGGCTCACTCTATGTGTAATGCTAATCCTCACTCTCCTGGTGTTTTGTCTAGCCCACAGCTGTACACATACAGGAGTTCCTCACGCTGCTGGCCGTGTGTCATACTGTTGTTCCTGAGAGACAAGGAAATACAATCATCTACCAAGCCTCCTCTCCAGGTTGGTTGTTGCTTTCTTTTTTGGGAGGGAAGGAGTAGAAGGTAGACTGGAAGTCCATAAATTTCTGTGAAGATCATTGATTTTGAAAGCAGGATGTCCCCCATGATGCTAGCAGTAGGTCTGTCATCTCCTGTCATCAGTACATGCTGCTTTTGAATGCCTTCTACAAAACTACAGCATCCTTGATGTTTCTTTAGAGATAAGCTGGGCTCATGATGCCTTCTACTCTGTCCTTTCTGTGGGGATGAAAAATAAGAGTAAAACTTTGAGTCTGCAGAGCTGATTTATGGAAGTAATTATTTGTTTCTGCACTAACAATTACTTACTTTATTTGGCATAAGTACAGATTGTCTCTCTCGATCTAGTAGTATCTGCATAAAGCAAAGTAGGAAGCAACCAAATGCTGATACGTGACATGGTATAACCAATAGCAGAGTACTGACCACATTCAGGCCTGCCCTTGACACATTTTTTTTCTCCTTTAAGTTAGCACAGAGGTATTGAAGAGTATAGGCATTGCCAGAATGCAGAACAGCATGACCCTGATCTCCATCAGTTTGATTTCTGTTAGTGAGGATATTTCTAGAATTGCTGTAGTGGTGTTTTGAATGAGGACTCTCACTCAATGAGGATTACCATTTCTCATTTGTGTCTTAATAGTGTGTCTGAAAAGTAGGGTCAAGAGCCTGTGTAAGGAAGCTCTGGTCAATGTAATGAACCATGAGGAGACTAAGAGTACTGTAGAGACGTTAGGGTTGCTTAAATTGGGTGCTAAATTCACATGTATGGTGGTTGTGCTTAATGACATTTTTTCCTTAATGAGGCTCTGTAAGTACCTACTGGAGGTACAAGTGTTGGCTCTGGTTTCAGCTCTGTTATTTGAGCTCCTAATGACACTGCTCATTTCAGTCCCCAGAAGACAATGCTGCATTTCTATAGCATGTGAACTTAGTGCCTTTACAGCAGAAAATGTCTTAAAGGCATACTGTAGGAATTTAGAGTAACAACACAGCTTTGATCTTGCTTTCCGAACAGGTATTTCCCCTTTTTCATGTAGAAAAGTATGGCTCCTCCAAAGAATAGAGTTGAATGCTTCAGTAGTTATAGGATATTTTATATGGATTGAGTGCAAAGTTTGTGTCATTGATATTACTTGGCCTTTGTAGAACTAAGCATTGAACATTTTTTGTGGAAGGGTCTGCAGAGCTAGTCTAGCAGCTGTACACAGGATAGTATATGGGAAAGGGGACTTCTGTTTTGGCAGTCTGGCATATTTAATATGGGTTTTGGAGGCCTCTCTTAAATACCAGATTAAATTTAAGCTTTTTGTTTGTTTGTTTGTTTTGGCAGATGAAGGGGCATTGGTGAAAGGAGCAAAAAAACTTGGTTATGTCTTCACAGGACGGACTCCACATTCGGTTATCATTGATGCGGTAAGTGGCAGAAGTGCATGGCACAGGCTGCCAAGCTCATGCAGAGCATAAATGTGTCCTGTGTGGCTTCTGTGAGGGCCCCTTTCCAGGGTCCTTGGGATGCTTACCCGTAAAAGGCTTTTGCACATGGGGTGAAGTTGTTTTAATCTATCTGAAGATGCGAAGTCCTTTACCCTTTTGTGTGGCACGGGCAATAGGAAGTTGCAATAACAGCAGTTGTGCCTGAAAAATATTTTCCTTGTCTGGGAGGCACAGACAAGAACACTGACACTCAGAAGCAAATTCATGTCTGGCTGACTCTTATGTTTAGTGGTTACAATTCTTCTAAATGTTTCATTTCTTGTATTAAAAGGACTTTTTTTTTTGTTCTGAGTAAGATGTTCTGCATCTTCTTAAAAAGATGTATCTATTCAGCAAGCTCTGTATGCAGGGATGCATAGTTAAGGGGTTACAGTTGACACAGTCTGAAACTCACAGGCTACATTCAGACTCAAGTTGCAGTCTGAGCTAAAGTGGCTCCAGATTTATACAGATGCAGCTAGTAGGGTGCTTATTACAAGTGATGGATGTATTTTTGTTGTTCCTCTTGGGTGTGGTCACTTTCAAATTCCTTGGAACACTGTCAAGCACTTAAAAAACAACCTCTACAACTTGTCACAAACTTTTTACAATTTCTCAGGAATTGCTTCTTAGTTTAAAGGGAAGAACTTAGGATGAGCAGTGATCTAGAGCTATCTAGGTGTTTCTCTGCAGGAAGAGCTAGGGCTCAGCTTTATACTCCTAATACCAAGTCAGGAGCCTGGTCAGTCCACAGCCAGCGATAAAAGCTGTCACTCCCAGAGGTTCCTGTCCCTCCTTTTTGCCTATGTCAGTGGCAGCACATGTAATACGGGTTGGAGGTGCCTTTTGGTCTTGGGGATATTGCTGAATTGATATGTGCCTTGTAGGACAAAAGTCTGTACTGCAATTAGATTTTACTGCAGCACTTTCTTTAACCTGGTGCTACAAATACCACTGGAGTTCTGAGACTCCAGTAACTCCTACTGCTCCTTCTGTCTGTTATATAACAGGTATGGCAGGTGTTTTGAAATCTGGTGCTTTCTTCAGGTGGTTCACGATCAACCCTAGCAGAGAGTTGTTGATGATAAGAGCAGTTTCTCCTCAGTGAACTTTTTTTTTTTGCCACGAAAAATATAATTAATGTTCTTGTAAATTCAAGTAGAAGAAATGCTAAGGAAGTTCAGTCAAAGGTTATTGTAATACCAAATCTGGAGAGTATGTTTATTTAATTGGGAAAACACTCACAGCCCATTGGTGGCCGTTAAGAACTAAATATGTCTTTCAGAGCATGCTTATCGTTTTGCAGTAAGATATTAATTCCGTTGTAATGGTGTAGCAATAGTAAATGAAGAATGCCTCAATATTGAATGTCAAAGAAAGTTCATTAAATAGGGCTCTGCATGCTTTAACCAGCAGAGGGAACCATTGCCTCTTTTATCGTACTGGGTTGTGTGAGAGGCCTGACCAATTTGTGTGTTTTCACGTGTAAGAACACAATGTGGATTGTACTTATAATATACATGCTTTCTTTTGTAGCTGGGGAAAGAGAAAACCTTTGAAATTCTTAATGTGCTGGAGTTTTCCAGGTGAGTTTTCCTCTAATATACTAAATGCAGCATAATAAGAATACCATTCTTATAAATGTGTTATTGAGATAAAACTGAGATAAAGGTACAGGTGACGTAGTAGAAAAGCAGAACGTTATTTTTTTATCCTGCCCCTCCATTTTCTCATTTCTAATGTAGGATGAGTACAGAGCTGGTGGCTGTGTGGCATGTGAGCATGAAACTCTTCCTTGCCACTTCATCTCTGTTGGTTTATTGAAAAGTTGCTGCTCTGGAAGTGTTTTGCTCTAACTCGTGGATATCCTGATGTTTTGCTTGTCTGCTTGAAGAACAGCTTTGAGATTACGCTTTTATAGAGTTTCTGTAAATTACTTGTTTCTGAGTAGCTGGAGGTGCCCCTTCTTAAGAACCACTCCATCTATGAAAAAACAAACATTGCAAACCCTTCTAGCTTGTCAGGCTCATTAGGATGGGCATTGCTCGTGTAGCAAGGAGCTTTGTTTGAATTGGACCCCTAAATCACTGGAGATGATTTTCTTTGTCAGTTGATAAGGTTTTTTCTACTCTTACTGTGGATTAAAGCCTTGAACTCTTGTCCTCTGCCATCTTTGAATTGGCTGGTTTTGCTCAAAAGGACTATACAAAACTAAAGGTGGGGAATATTTGGGTAGGCATCTTTTCTTGTGTGCTGACTTGCTTTGAAGATGATTCTTGACTACTTTCTGCTTTGCTACTACGTAATGTGACTATGTAAGGTACTTGTGAAAACTGTGTAAAAAGGCACTAGAAGAGTCTTTGGGGATTTCTGACAAGCTGACCACAGTACCCTTATGTCTGTAACAGGAATAGCTGTACCCTGCTTGCAGCAGAAAAAAGCTGTCTTAGTTCTTCCCTGTGTAGCAACTTTGCATTTGACCAGCGAGGAAGTTCCCACAGTTAGATTTCAAAAAGCATATGGAAGCTTCCCAGTGTCATTAGCATGTTGCAGAAATTCTGGCTACAGCTAATTGCTCCCCTCTTTGGAAAGTCTCAGAAAGGATTGTTTTATCTTATGATACATGCCAAGAGCTTGCCTACTTACACATTGCTCTTGACCTGTAAAAAGAGACTAGGTCTCTCAGAGCAACTTCAAGAAGAGAAGGAAGATTGCTCTACACTCTGATCTGTTTGTGCACATTGGCAAAAAGGGAATGAGGATGCTTCTGAGTTGTCCTTTTGCTAGGAAAAAGATTTGTACAAAACCATGTGTTCCTAGGGTTTCCTTGATGAGAGTTGATTTGTTTGTGTCTGCCTCTTACAAGTTGTGTTCTGTTTTTTCTAGTGGATCTTTTAAAGGAGAGATTACTAAGTAAAATGCCAAAAATTTTCTTTAAAAACCCCTATCCTTGCCTATGTTCCTTTGTTAAATGTCTATATATGGTATGCTATTGTCCACATTTATTATTTTTAAGATATATGCCAAGCTTGACTGTCTTGATAAGCAGCCTTGTTCAGGAGGTCTGGCTTCCTTCTATATAATTGCAGCTATATAGGTCTGGGTAGACCAATATAGCTTTCTTTTTGAGTTAGGAAGTTAAATAACTGCCCTTGACAGTGGATGGTTGTTTCAATGTCTGTTATGCCTTTAATAAAGATGCGTCCAGCCTTCATGATTCTGTTTCTAGAGTGAGTTCCCCAAACCATTTTGCTAGAGGAATAAGAAAAAGTGTAGACTAAATGTCACTCCCATTTTTCTAGAGTGTTTTATCCTATCTTGCCTTTTTCTTGCATGCATTTGGGTGTAAGTCTGTGTTCTGGTTAAGTGCTTGCCAACAGGAGCCGTAGGGCTGAAGCTGGAAATGGGCAATTTAGTACTTCTTCTTGCTGTCAAGGGTTGCGTGATCTTAAGTTACTACTCCTTTATCTTATCCTATCTCAGATGCACTAAACACATGTGAGAAAATTCACTGCCTAGAACAGGAATTACTCTTGATCACTTTGACTAATGAAAGCAAATATTTTTTTTCAATAGCAACAGGAAGAGAATGTCAGTGATCGTTCGAACTCCAGCAGGACAACTACGTCTCTACTGCAAAGGGGCTGTAAGTAATTATGCTGCCTACTGGAGAACTAACACTACCAGTTATTGTTTCAACAGCTGTGGCTGATGCTGGCATTTCATGTCTCATACATAATACCTGTTAGCTTTCTGTTTAAGACCAAGTGATTTAAGAGAGCTGTCATTCTTCCTCTGACTCCTTTTGCAGGCAGGAAGATTGCTAGGCTTTCTGCAGCCCAGTTAAAATCCTGAAACTAATAGGAGCAGTACCCTTTACTTCAGCAAAGTCAAGATTTCACCCAGCTGTGCTGTGGGAGTTCAGCAGTTGAACTAAATGCTGTTGTCTGAATTTATAATATTAAAATCTGTTCTCAAGTTGTTGGCTGTTGGCCTGGTTTTCTTGCACCTCTGCACCTGCTGTTGTTTGTCATCATGACTTGTTCCATGTTGTGCTTCTGTCTTCACTGACAAGAGCAATAACTTACCACAGTACAAAGTCTGCAAAACTAGCATTGTCCACAGCCAGAGAATGGTTCTAATTTCAGTGGAAAACTATGGACCTGGTTTTTTTTTTCAACAGGGAAAGACTATTTCTGACCTCTGTAAGGATCTGGTTTACTTGAATTTGTCCTGACATACAGGTCTAGGTGCACTGCTCTATTGCTTCAGTTTACCTCCCCTGATTTGATAAAGATGTGCTGGCTTCATGCTGGAGTGGTGAAAGTGTATTAAGACTGATGCCACTGTGCATTAGTTTACAGTTGTATGTCTAGTAGGACCACACAGACTAACAACTGCTTGTTGTTCATGCTGTGTCTTAATTAACACTGTTTTTTGGAGTGTGGCACTGAAGGCAATGGAGAACAGGAGAGTTTGTAGTACCAGATTTCATCTTGTCTTCCATTTGAGCAGCCCTAGATGTACTAACAGAGCATGTGTTGCAATGATTAGGGTAATGTGGTGGTTTATTTGCTGCATCTGCCACTCATCTGACATGTATGTTTAACTGCCTGTTTTGCATTAACTGTTGCACGTTCTGGTAGTCATCCTCTGTCCTGTTGCTTCCATAGTAAATTGGTTTGTATTCTTGTCTCTAATCAATGCTAGATGTAGGTCTGTTTACTTAGCTTAAGAGCATATGTATGAGTAAAAGTAGGGTTTCAGTGTGTTACATGTTTATAGCAACTTGTTCTGGTAGTTGCAGAATAAAATCCAGAGACTAGATACATAGGTGATGGTGCTGTATTTTGATTGCAGCTGTTAGCCTTTTCAATTGTATTTTGATTTAGCAATGAAGAAAGCTGTTGCAGGAGGAAAGTTGCTTCTGAGAGAATTTTGCAGTAGAATGAGATCAGTGTTTCTGCCTCTTAATTTTTAACATCAGTGGAAATCTGTTCTAGAAAGCATTGCAGGACTCTTCTGCATAGGACTATAGTATGTACTGAACTTAAGACCAGACACTTGCTCTCTGAAAAACAATAGATTGGCTTAGTAACTTAGAGAGAAACATTCGGTAATGCCCAATAATAGTGACTTTTTTATGGAAAGAGGGCAGAAAGGCAGAGTGTATTTCTGTCCCCATTATTTAAAATGGATGCAGTATCCCTGCCACTGGACACAACCCAAATGACTTAATCAAATCAGAATCTCTAAAACCCAAACATATTACTTATAAATATAGTCTTGGTTTTGATATTAGCTAGTCCATTCAGGTTACTTCACTTGAACTTGTAAATACACAAATGGAAACTTCATATGTAGACTTACTCTGTTGTAATGAATTTGGTTTTAATAGGATAATGTAATTTTTGAGAGGCTTTCGAAAGATTCCCAGTATATGGAGCAAACACTGTGCCATCTTGAATACTTCGCAACAGAAGGTAAGAGAAACAGAGAATTCAGTTTTATCAAATTACTTGCAGCATTTTCTGCATTGTCTAAAATAAGCAGTGTCAAGTAAGATGATTATGGAGATAAATCAAGAAATGTGTGATCAGTAGTTTAACAACTGTATAAGATGACTTTTAAGACTAGGGAGGTTTTTGCCCTGCTTCTGTATGATTTCAGTAGGGAAGTGGAAAAGATGGTGTTCTCTCTGTCCATGATGAAGGGAAAGGGTGTAAGTCATATTGCCCGGAACAACTCAACTACACTGGAATTAGAGTTGTAAAAGCTGAATGCCAAAGTCCCTGGCTTTACGAAGCAGAGGGATAATCTGAACATGCTGGAAAGCCTTGTAGACTGAGACATCAAAGATGACCTGAAATGGTCTGTAAGGCCTTTGACTGATTTTAACACCTCTGTTCACAGGGAACTTGGCTTTGTTCCCTCTTCTGCAATAGTATAAGATACTTGTGCTATAGTAAAACCATGAACCAGTGGTTTTCTTCCTAAGTCTGGAAACATAATTCAGCTTTTAAATATATATATTTTACCGACTCCCACGTTCCCAGTAATGAAATTTTTGTATTTTATGGCACACACTCATTTCTGCTTGATTCATGCTAGAAAAAAAAATAAATCATTACTTCTCTATGTAAATTTTTGTCAGTGGTCTAATAAATTGGTTTTCATACTTCACGGACCCTGTTCATTATATCGTACATGTCTAACTCCCATTATTAATGCAAGTTAGATTTATACACTGAAGGAGAAATCATTTTTCTAAGAGAAAATGTGGATGATGCAGTATGTTTGACTAATGTCTCCAATCACAGTATGTAGCCAGTTTTTTAATTTGATCTTAAAAATACATGAAAGTCAGGCTTGCCTTCATGCTCACTTAAAAGGTTAAAGATGGCTTTTGTTGGTCAAGTGGGGCTAGATTGTAATAGTGAAAATCAGGGACGGGAGACATCTATGTTTTTATCCATTAGACTGTCTTGATTTGCACCAGCATTAGTAATGAAATGAACCAGACTTTTGGTTGACGTTTGTGGAAATTTAAGTGCTTTAAAAATGTCAAGGGAGATTTTGTAGAATCCAGAGTTTAACAGTCTGTGTTAATAGGTCCTGTTGTTCCAGTGAGAGGGTTTGAACTTAGCATTCATTAGGGCAATTATTTGATGATACTCAGTGTAATTTTACTGTGGGTAATGGCTGCCTTATGTTTTGTAGGTCTGAGGACATTATGCATTGCTTATGCAGATCTATCGGAGAAGTCTTACAGAGAGTGGTTGAATGTCTACAATGAATCCAGTACAGTTCTGAAAGACAGAACTCAGAAGCTGGAGGAGTGCTATGAGATCATTGAAAAGGTAAAACATACTTCTTTGATGATTGGATGCAGGTTCCCTTATATGTGTATTTTTCAGTGAAATTTGGGTTTTATACAATAAAATAAACTGTTAATTTCATAGATGAGAAACTGAAAAGGTGTTCTTAGATGGCAGCCTGTTCAGTCCATAGATCTCTCAAGTTTTAATTGGTAAGTCTGAGACAAATTTACGGATTAATAAAAATAATTTCTACTTATAAAAGCTTTTCATACAGGTTTTTTATCTTGCTATTTTTGTAACTTGATAAAGCAAATGTATAAAAATTGTTGTGTTGCACCTAATTCCTGTGTACTAATATATGAAGAGATGCACTGCTTTTCATACAGCAGTCACAGTTCAGGTTTTCTGAAGGCTTCGTTGTAGGCACGATGAAGTGCTGACCAAAGCCTGAAGTTGCGTGGACTGAAAAAAAGGTGGATAAACTGCATGCTGTGAAAATTGCAGAGCTCCTAATTTTGGAAGGGGAAGATAGGTATCAGAGGAGCGATTTGTAACGCTGATCCCACATAGAATTAAATGTTAAAGTGCCAACACTAGGGGCCAGTGTTTCCTTGAGCCTTGTCGGTCTTGCTGCTTTCTGAAATGCTGGTAGTCACACTCCTCACCTGCACGTGTTTATACTCTTGTCCCTTACTTCAGGTATTTCACTCTCATTTTATTTAGTGGTTTCTTTAACCATGCTTTGAACTTCAGTTTATTTTAAAATTAATATTAAAAATGCTGCTTAAGTTCTGGAGCACTCTTTTTTATTGGGGCAGAATCATAGAATGGCCTGGTTTGGAAGGGACCTTAAAGATCATTGAGTTCCACCCTCCTGTGATGGGCAGGGTCACCTTTCACTAGACCAGGTTTCTCAGAGTTGAATCCAAGCTGGCCTTGAATACTTCCAGGGATGGGGGACATGATGAGGAAGCTGAGACTAGGAGGGGAGTTAATTGTCACAGAGTAACAGAAAAGCTCCAAGAACTCTTTCAGCAAGAGCTGAAGACTGAGTCTGTCTCCTCAAAATAATGCCTAAAAATCTTCTTGATGTTAGAGTCAATAACAGTGGGTGTCTAATCGTTAATTCTGGGTAGCTCCTTTCAGCATTCTGCTTCTTACGCTGTGCTCTTACACTCCTCTGTTGTCACTGAGGTGAAACATGAACATGGCTTTAACTTAACTTTAAAGTGTGTTCTAAAACCTTAGATCACTTTTGATCATCTACCTTCCACCTTTTTTCACAATTCAGTATCTTGAAAAACAGGGAACCCACGCATGGATTTTAAAATTGTAGTGTTGAACTTGGTGCCATATTGGCAAGAACTATCCACTGTATGCCTTTCCTGTTATTGTTTGCTTGCTGCTCATACCAAGGAACAGGGTATTTCCAGATAAACTGGCTCGTGGCTGTAACATAAAATATAATGTATTTTAACAGGCTGATTTTTTTTTTTTTTCCATATAAGGGCTCAAATTGAGAGCTAGAGAGTTACTTTGTCAGTCTGAGTGTTGAGATGGCTGGATCATAGTACAAATGCACATGTGGAGACAAAGTTGAACTGGCTTCCTTCCCCGGCTGTGCGCTGGCTGAGAGGGCTTTGTTGGCTGCAATAGTGACTCCCCTGGTCAGTTAGCTCAACCATGCTGATCCCTGTGCTGTCATGTTTAGCTGTTTAGCAAGTGATTTGGGGGGAAAAAAAGACAATGTACGATTGCACACTTGGATTGTCTTTTTAGCAATGTTGAGAGCATTTGTAGGGCTTAATGTTTCATTGGGAGGCTATAGGGTACTAAAGCATGATAACTTGCATGAGTTGATTCTGCTGCCTTTACCAGCTGAATATCTCATAACAAAAATGAAGCTGTGTTAAGACCTGCAACTAATGCCAACTTACACACCTGTATGAATAACAATTTGCTCTTCTGTTCTTTGAGCATGCATAGATTCATACAAGCAGAAGCTGCTTTAATGCCCTCTTCATGGTATCATAGAAGGGTTTGGGTTCAAAGGGGCCTTTCAAGATCGTCTAATCTAAGTTATAATACCCCCATCCTCCATCATGGACAGGGACACATTTCGGTAAACCAGATTGCTCAAATCTCTGCCTAGCCTGTCCTAGAACATTTCTAGGAAAGGGGCGTCCACCACTTCTCTTGACAACCTATTTAGTGTCTCGCCACCCTCATCTTTTTCAGTTTAGAAGCATCACCCCTTGTCCTGCCACTTCAGCTGTCTTTATCCATATTTTGTGTAAGCCCACTTTTTATATAGAAAGACCACAATAAGGTCACCCTGGAGCCTCGTCTTCTCCAGGCTGAACAACAGTAACTTTCCTAACTACTTCTGTTCACTTCATCTATCTTCATTTCTGTTGAATAATTTTAGTCTCTACCAAGAATAGGAGCTTGTCCTTTTCCTGTAAAGTTACTGAAGCGACACAGTATACCTAAACTCAATTTATATCAATTTATGTTAAATTAAAGATCTTTGCATGTCTAAGGAATCATTAATGTGCTTTTAAAGTTAAAATCCGTGTAGACTGTACCTCTTGACAAGGTTTATTTCTTAGCTGTTTTTTCTGCCTCACTTTTTTTTCTGTAAGGTAGCCAAATCTCTTCAAGAAATTACTTCAGAATTGCATAAGAATATGGCAAACTCTGTAGTTTTAAATTCATTGTATGAGGCATGCTTTTCTGGCAGACACCTGTACATTGACTAGAGATACTTGGATTGATTAATGTTCATACCGCTTGTATTACATAAATGTAGTGATTATATCCATAAATAGCTGCAATAATTTTTGCTTTGAGTGATTGTATCCAGTCTGTATGTACATTTTATGGACAGAAATTAGTTTAAATGATGTGATGCCAAATGCATAAACTGTGACCATTCATGTTGCTATGGTGATTAGTGAATGCTCTAGTATATGTGTTCATCCATAGGTTAGCTTTAAGTTTTATAGCTCCAATTAATTATTCTTGAAATGTTGCCATCTTTCTGATCAGAAACGCTCTGTTCCATTCTGTACCTCTTTAAATGTGAATTGTGTGCAGAGGAAGTAGAATAGCCACACCAGAAATTTACTGTAACATTGCTTGTCAAAATGCAGTATTAACAATGAGAGGCAACATGCTGTCTTAATTCCTTTCTGAGTGTGTTCCACACAGAGGTTTATCTTCAGAAAACAGTCCCTCAAATCCTTTTGTATTTTTTTCAGGATTTGTTGCTTCTTGGAGCTACAGCCATTGAAGACCGCCTGCAAGCAGGTGTTCCGGAAACAATAGCCACACTAATAAAGGCAGAAATTAAGATATGGATTCTGACAGGTGACAAACAGGAAACAGCTCTCAATATAGGTATCCGTCTTTCTAGTTACTCTGAATTTATCTCATGCATAACAGGTTACTTTCAAGATGTGCTATGTGGGATTTTCAAAAAAATCTGGCCTGCTTCATATAGGAAGGTTCCTCTGCATGACTTTGGAGAAGGGGTTTTTTAGTGAAATCTTTACTCTGAGTGTCAGGCTATATTCAGATTTTTTGTTTTTTAAGGCAACCTAAGCTCTTAGGTTTCCAGGTTTTCTCTGGAAACCTAAGAGCTCAACCAGACTGTTCCAGGTATTCTATGCATTGTATGAAACTGGTTTGGAGTTTCTTTTTTCTGACTCACTGCCTTTTCTAGGCTCTAATAGAGTTTGGGATATGATGGGAAATATGGTAATGCAAAGTGAATAGATTACAGGTTCTTGCAAACCATGTCTGTGAAAGGAGATGGAAGCTTGAATAATTGACCCTGATGGCACATCTATTAGTTGAGTACATTGTGATTGTTAGTGGAAGTGTTTTGCTACTGATGCTTGCTATTGAGTGTATGTGTGGAGATCAGTATGGGTTGTTTTACTGAGCTATAACCCAGACATTCTTGTCTCATGTGCCTTTGTATGTTGAAGTTGGTACCAAGAGATGAAATTAACTGTTACAGTTGTAGTAGAAATAAGGTGGATGGCTTAAGTAGACAATTGATTTAAAGGCTAGTTATCTGTTTTGAATCACTATATGCAGATTTTGCTTTCTTTACAAGCAGTAGTCAGTGAGAGGAGGGAAGCATCATCTTTTGACTACTGAAAAAAAAAAAGGTGTATCTACAGATTTTTGCATAAGTACCTCAAATAAGTCGATATATCAACCAACAGCAGATAGCTTGAACACAAATAAATGAGCTTTTTCTGAAGACTATGAAGGAGACTAACTTCGAACTTCTCTTTTAAAAACTGTTAGTTTGTTGTTTCTTTTATTAGAGTAACTTGAGGGAATAAGAATCTCTATTAAAACTTCTAAATTATCACTTCGTTTAATGTACAGTTTGGTACTGAAACTCTAATTAGCTTCACGTTCAAATTAGCTTGAAAGTAAAAACATGTGGCAGCCTTCCAGTTTTTGTATGTAACTCATTATTAAACATTGCACTTAAAACCCAACCCACATGTTCATATGGGGAGTGAAAAGTATTTTTACTTTCTCATTGTGTGTGGAGGCTATCCTTATGGAGTCTTGCTTGCTGTATGGATATGTGTGTGGATTGAGGTATGTTTGACTTCTTGGCAGGTGTATCAAGGAGCTGGAGTACTTGGTTCTTCCAGCTTCCTCTTGATTCTTTGTTTTTCAGGATTTGCCTATGTCTCTCTCCTGATTGCATTTTTGACTTCTCTGGAGAGTAGTGGTTGACCTTATGTGTGGTTGGCTGTATGCCTTCTACTCAGCCATGTGCCAGTCAATAATTTTTGCAGGTGAAGAGGGTATTCATGATAAGCTTTAATGCTGATCAACCATTTGAACTCCTTACCTATAACAAATGGGAGCTCCAGGTTCAGAAGCATCTTTGAGCATGACCTGCTAACAACTCCTAAAAGGGTTACTTGTTCTTTTAGCTTCATCCTTTTTTGTTCAATCAACCAGGATCTTCATTGTCTTTCACCAAGACAAAACCACACATGACGGATTTCTATTTACTAGTATCCTGGTGCTCAGCAGGCTTACAAAAAATTAGAACTACTCTATTTCCATTAACTTCTTTAGGAACAAATCTGTTTTCTGGGAATGGGAATACAGTATTTCTCAATGGTATCCCTCCTCTGAAAAATTAATCAGTCTCTACAGTTGAGCTCAGTGCTCTTACCTAGTGTGTGCATTCATAGCTGTGAACATGGTCTTAAAACCATGGAAGGGTATGGAGTTGGAAGGGATCTTTTGAAGACTTAGTCCAACCCTCCTGCTGTGGGCAGGGACATGTTTAACTAGATCAGGTTGCTTAAAGCTCTGTCCAACCTGGTTTCAAACCCTTGCAGGGATGGGGCATCCACAACTTCTCTGGGCAACCTGTTCCAGTCTCGCCACCCCGTCATAAAAAATGTCTTCCTCATGTGCAGTCTGAACCTACCCTCTTTCAGTTTGAAATGATTGACCTTCGACCGGCTTCTACAGGCCTTGGTAAAAAGTCATACTCAGTCTTTTGTATAAGCTCCCTTTATGTATTGAGAGGTCTTCCCAGAGCCTTTTCTTCTCTAGGCTCAACAGCCCCAACTCTCAGCTTGTTTTCATAGGAGAGATGTTCTACCCTTTGGTAGTTTTTGTGGCCCTCCTCTGCATCCTCACTAATAGGTCCATGTCTGTCTTGTGCTGGGAGCCCCAGGGCTGGATGCAATACTGCAGGTGGGGTCTCGTGTTCAATTTTTCATCGCTCATGTCTCCAGCTACTTCTCAGTAGGGCTGCTTTCAATCCATTCATCCCCAAGTCTGTCCTGGTTGATATTTGAAATTGCTGCAGAGGTGCAGGACCTTGCACGTGCCTTGCACTTGTGGAACGTCATTACATTCTCATAGGCCTACTACTCAAGCCAATCCAAGTGCCTCCTGGTAGCATCACTTCCCTTGAATATACCAACTGCAGGATTCAGCTCTGTCTTGTCTGAAGACTTTCTCAGAGTGAACTTGATCCCATGGTGGGTCACTGGGGAAGATACTGAATGGTATTGGTCCCAGAACTGACCCCTGAGGAACACTGCTCATTACTGGTTTTCATTTGTGTGTTGCACCACTGAGTGTAACTCCTTGGGTGTTGAACCATTGACTGCAGCTCTTTGGATGCAGGCATCCAGCCAATTCCTTATTCATCTAACAGTACATCCATCGGACTCATATCTCTCCAATTCAGAGGTGAGAACACTTCTTGGTGAACTGTGCTTTTTTTTCAGTTGAGGAAACTGAAGCAATGCCTGCAAACTTGCCTACATCCCTATGCAAGTTTGATCAGGTCACATGTGCCCTCTCTGAACACACAGGGTAATGATTCTTGTCTCAGATGCTGGATTCTGTATGCCTGCAGTATGAATGCCTGAGGGCTGTGATCTTGAACTCTGGTTAAAGCAGTCTTTCTCCCAGGACACTTAAAGGGAAGTAAGTCCCAGAAGTACCTGATTCATCTGCTTCATGGACTTTTAGTCAGACTTTGAAATTACAGAGCTAGATATCAACTGAGAGATGTGGATTGACATTTTATATCTGGCTTTAAACCAGCAGCTGATCTTACTCTACTCAGAAGCATTGAGAAAACTATGTACATACGTTAGAGAATGTATTTTTGCTTACTGTGTTAGTATTGCCAGTAATAACTATTATAAAACTATTATAAAACTTTAAAATGTTACTGTGAATGTCTAAGATCATTACTGGTAGTCTCACAGTTGCCACCTACTTTGCTTTACACTAGTGCTAGATTTTAATATCATCTTAGCCCTGGAATTGTACGTAATGTATAGATCTTCTATAAACCCTTGTTAGGCTTGGCTTACATTCTCTTATTCCAGTCTTGACCTTCCTGTTTTAATGTGATAGAAAGATGCAAAATAGCCTCAACTCCAGGGTAAGTTGTTCTGACTTCTCCATGACTTCCAAGATGCACAGCAGAGCAACTCGGTTTTCCACAGTATCTCTTTTTCTTCCAGCTTGACTTGTAGAATGGCATCTTGCTCATTTTAAAAGAGGTAAAGTGAAGCAGTGGTTTAGAAATGACAGCTTGCTATTGCAGCTGCTGTTCTAATCAAATGCTACTTTCAAAAGAAAATCCTTTTGAATTAGTTATGCTGAATTTATAACACCCTACTGTACAAGACTGTTGCCATTGCCTGGGAAAAGAATAACCCTGATATGGAAGGAAGTGCTTAAATTTGTAACAGTCCCTTTTTCTTCTCAATAAAAATAAGGAAGTGAGTTTTCAGCCAGGGACTAACTTCTAAAAATGGCAAATGGACTTGAGAAAAAAGTCAGTGTTTTGTCTATACCTGCTGGAGGTTTGTTGCTCAGTTCTGTACTACCACCTAAGACTTGTTCCCAGGCAGAATCAGAGGCTGTCTGCAAAGCTGTCATGCTGTAGGCTGCACTTCATTAGAATATATTTCATCCTTTTGCCAACAGGTATGTGTGAGTTCAGTGTCAGTCTATATTGTTTTCTGAAGCAGAATGTAAACCTTGGCTTGTTAACACAACTAAGATGAAAATGTATTTGCAAGGTTGCACTTGATACTGATAGTCTACACAGCTGTGAAAATGGAAGGCAAGCTAAACTTACGCAGCTAATCAAACCTGCTGCCTGAGAGGGCCTGGCTGTGTGATTGTAAGCATGTCTTCCACAAAGGAAAATGAGGGATTTGCTTTCTTGACAGAAGTCACTCATGCAGGCATGTTAACCCTGGATTATACCTGCAAAACTAGCCCAATTATAAAAACTTTGTAGCCCGAGGAGATGATCTGCATTGCAATTGATGAGCCAGTATGACCTTTCTAAGGAACCGAGAATCCCATTGAAAATTTCATGCCTCAGTTTGTCTGTTGCTGTTGTAAGATATGGAAAGAGGCACTTCATCTTTTTACATCGACTATATGTTATGCTTTTGAATCAGTCAGCCTTGCAGTGGTTCCTCACTGGGGCATTACTCTTATAGTGCAATAACCTCCAGTCTCCATATAAGAAAAGTAAGAGGCTTCCTAAGATCTCACTTTATTTGACAGCAATTTCTTAAACTTGTTGTAATTCATTTCTATACAAAACCACAGTACAAATACAAAACAATTCTGTTGTATTTCTTTTTACTGTGTAATTTAGATGAACATTAAAAGGTGTGTGCTTCAGATTAATTCTCTGCTGTTTTATTAAGCATATGTGACTGTGTCGATCCCAAGTGAACTTGTATGTGCAAGTGAACTTTTAGGATGAAGCAGTGGGGTTGGTCTGATGCAAGTTTGCATTTGTCTCTTGCCATTAATATGAGTGGGAATTAAACTCTTTATTCTGTAAATGCTTATATTTTTATAGACATAAGATATTTTGGTGTTTGTTTTTGTTTGTTTGTTTGTTTTGGCTTTTTTAGTCTTGAGGATTTTTGTTTTCCATTTTGGTGTCCTGGCAGTTGTACAGAACTGCCTTCTGAGTGCTGCTGCAGAGTATGGCAACTTGCTCTTGTTCTTTCATGTCCCAGTCCTACACTAAGAATAAGCTACTACAGTTGCCTGGTTCCTATAGGACTTGGTAGGGCCTCTCTGTGTGTCATTGATCTGCAGTTTTTAATGATGCTCAGAACCTTCCACACTGAACTCTCCAGAGTAAAAAATGCTTATACAAGCCCAAGTGTGGGCTAAAGGAACTGGGTAGTACCAACTAATCCATGTGTGCACTTCTGGTCATCTGGCATAGTTGCAACCGTGCTTTCAGATCTGTTCCTGCTGAGCATGGAAGGCAATTCTGCCTCCAGTGTAGATGAAAAAAATAAGGTAACTTTTGCTGTAGGGCTGTATTTGATTCATCTAGTTCACATGGTGCTTTCTTTAATGAAAACATCTCAAGTGATATATTTGGAGGTGCAGATAAAACTCAGCCTATGTTGCTAGTAAAATTGTAATTTTTGAGTGTGTCCTGTACTCCAGTGTTTCTAACAGTCTGTCTGATACGAGTAACTGCTCAAAAAGTAAATTGTCATCTGATCTATAGATGCTTATTTTAAGGTTGAGCTCAACCTTAGCTAGTCTTCCAAAAAGTAAATCCTTATTTTGTGTTTTTTTTTTTTTTCTCCTTTCTGTCTTGCAGGGTACTCTTGCAGACTCATTTCACAGAGTATGTCTCTCATCCTGGTTAATGAAGAATCACTGGATGTAAGTAAGCAAATTCTGCTATAATTCTTGACAAAAGGAGGTGTTACTAACAAGATGGAAGGTTGTCGAGCTTTCTCATTGAAATCCTCTTGCTTGCCCTTAAGGGTAGCAAGACAAAAAATTCATGCTAAAACATAGATGTGTTGTGCAAAATATATTCCTGAGGTCTCAGTAACAAACTGTACAAATCAAACTGAAGTCTCAGAGCAAGAAACTTGTGAGGTTTATGGATTTACTTCTGCTGCAAACTGGAAAAACGTGGAGCATGCTATCAGGATTATAATTAGTCTTTAAGGTATAGTTATAGGAGTAACATGTTTGAAGAAAGAAAAAAAAACAATCAAAAAAACCCCCACAAAAAAACCAAAAAATAAGCTCCATAAGTAATTTCAGTGTAGTAACCTATCTTCAGTATTGTATGGAACAGCTGTAACCAAACCTAGGCTAGAACAAACTGCATTGTGAGCTTGCCTATGTACAGGAGCTTTTAAAACCTTAAATCAAAAAATGCTGATAAATGATTGCCATGCTCCTCATCTGTGTGTAAAAATTAATTAGAACAATTATACACTTGTACGTGAATCTTCCCAGATCTTTTTCTGTTTTGTATGTTTCAATGTCAGTATCAGTATTTGATATCACTTTAATATCTAATTTCTATTAGAGATATTTGTAGAACAGATGAAAGGATCTGTAATAGGCAGCATCTGACATTTGGCTTTAGAGTTGGCAATTCATTGTGCTTGACTGCATGGGAGATGCAAAACCTGTGTCTGAGTTGTCAGAGGAGTTACTAGATAGCTGCAATTCTGGTGGAAGTGTGTAATACTATTGTTGCCAAGTTATCACCTGATAAGTGTTATTGTCCTGTTGCCTTGATGTGATTCCAGTCATTTCATTTGTAGAAATGTTTGGTTACAGAATCTGGCTGTAAAGAGTATTGGAAATTTATCAGTAAACATAACTAAAGGAAGCTTTCAGAACATGAACTTGACCCTTGGCAAGTTTGATGACACCAAGCTGTGTGGTGCAGTCGATATGCTGGAGAGAGGGGTGCCATCCTGAGGGACCTGGACAGGCTTGGGAGGTGGACCTGTGTGAACCTTGGGAAGTTCATTTAGACTGAGTGCAAGGTCCTGCACCTGGGTTCGTGCAGTCCCGAGCATAGGTACAGGCTGGGAGGAGAATGGGTTGAGAGCAGCTCTGAGCAGAAAGACTCAGGGGTGTCCAGACAAAAAGCTCGATATCACCCAGCAATATGTGCTTACAGCCCAGAAAGCAAACTACATCCTGGACTGCATGAGAAGAATCACAGCTAGCAGGTTAAGGGAGGTGATTCTTCCCCTCTGCTCTGATCTGATGAGACCCCACCTGGAGTGCTGTGTTCAGCTCAGTGGCTCCCAACATAAGAAAGATTGTGATCCTGTTGAAGTGAGTCGGGAGGAGAGGTCTGGAGTGCCTCTCCTATGAAGACAGGCTGAGAGAGTTTGGGCTGTTCAGCCTCAAGAAGGGAAGGCTCTGGGGAGGCCCTATAACACCTTCCAGTATCTAAAGGGGACCTACAAGAAGGCTGGTGAGAGTGACCTCTACAAGGGTATTGAGTGATAGAATGAAGGGGAATAGCCTTAAGCTGAAAGAGGGTAAATTTAGATTAGGTATTAGGAAGAAATTCTTTACTGTGATGGTGGTGTGACACTGGAAGAGGTTGTCCAGAAAAGCTGTGGATGCCCCATCCCTGGAGGTGTTCAAGACAAGGCTGGATGGGACTTTGAGCAATGTGGTCTTGTGCGAAGTGTCCCTACCTGTGGCAGGGCAATTGGAACTAGATGATCTTTAAGGTCCCTTACAATTCTAATCCTACTATGAAGAAATTGAGAACCATGGCATGTCCAATAATGAGAAAAAAAAACCCTTATGGGTATATAGTTGATGGTCTCTGAAGTGAAGAAAATGGATGATGATGTGATACATCATGAAGACCTATCTAATATTGCAGGTGACTGCTGCTTTAGCTCAGATAGTGTATGTTTTTCAAAAACATGGGCACAAACTTGAGCTTCTGAACTGGTTCATCAGAAATGCTTTGTATTAAATCAGTCTTGTTTTCAAACTAAATTAAATATGTTATTTTCCAAAGTACTCTTCTTGCCCTTTTGAATGTAGAATTGAATTTTTTATAATAGGAATTAGAATAGGAAACTCTTGATTTGTTGATAATTGCTGCTAGTTCTTTTAATTCTAAGGTATCTCTAGCTACTTACTGCCAGTTTTTCAGTGTGGGATCTCCATAGTAGTATTTATTGTGTTACACTTGGAACAGAAATTTTGACTTGTATTCAACTGAACTTAAAAATCTATCACTAGAAGATTCCCACACTAGAATTCTGTAGCATTATGTTTAATATATTCTACCTCTGAAATTCATTAATACTAAAAATGAGTTTTTACAAGATCCAGGTTGAGCTTAGAGCCTTTAAATATTGATACACTTACTGCTTTGTGCAGTCCCTATGTGACTTTTCCCCCCTCCCCCCCCCACTTCTGCTCCTTGGCATGCAGCAGCAGGTGAGATGTGATCGAACAACTGTCTTGGCTTGGTTTTGAGAGCTAAATTTTTTCGAAGTTGTGCACTTCAGGAGAAAAAATCAATCATTTCTGTTCTCTTCAGGGAACTCCTGGGAATAGAAGAGACTAATCCCTAGCTTGATTCAGCTGAATTCTAGAAACTTAGCATAATAATCTGCAAATGTCTATCCCTTATAGACTTAACCAGATGCATATATATACTCACTTGTTTTCTCTTTTCCTAATAAAGATTTTTGAAATGAGAATATTTTGAGCACCAGATTTACCTTGAATGTAATTCTTGGACTCAGTTTCTGTTTAATTAAATTGGAACTCTGTAAAGTCTTACTGTGCGGCTCTTAACCTGGAAAAATTTCTTTCATTGGCATCTCTTAGAATTTGAGTTGTGAGAGAAGTGAGAGGGGTAGCTGAAGAAGGGAAATCAGGAGACTCAGAGACACCCTGTCTAGTGTATGTTACAGCCAAGGAATGTTGGGTGTGTTCCCAACCATCAGTCCTGCAGAAAGAAGAGCTGGGAGCTGTATCAGTTGCGTATCACATGGGGTTGTATTTAGTAATAGTAGAAGGACAACACTGGAGGGATGCAGTTCCTGTGGGTGGTATTTTGCTGTCACATAATTTTGTCGATGTAAGTGGAGCTGCACAGTGATTGTGTTCCACAGAACTCATGTACCTGGACTGACAGTCGTTGTCTGGGGTTATGCACAGACATGTAACCAACAGCAAATTGATACTCCAGTGTAAGAACTCTCTTAGGGGTATCTGTTAATCAGATATGACTAAAAGTATAAGCTGGAGTTGTCTTCTCTTGCTTTTGGGATCCTGGTCCTCTTGCAGGAGAAAGGACATCTGTGCCTTATCAGTGATGTCACACTACTTACTCCTGAAAAATGGGGGCAAAGTTATTGTCAACTTCTCAGACTAAAACCAAAGTTACCTAGTACTCCAAATGCTCCAAAGCATTGATATCATGTCTGCTTCAGTCATACTAAAAGATAATAAGGTATGCAGATACGGCTGGGAAGATGAGAACAAGCCCTGTACTACTAATACCTTGTAGATGCTTTGAAGGTTGCATCTTGTGTGTTGCACCAAGGAGGAAACTGGGATTTTTCTTTCTCCTGTTATCATCTGCCCACATGCTTTCTGACCAAGTTAATATTCTGGAAAACTGATCAATGCAGGCAAACTCAGTTTTAGCCAAGCATCAACTCTCCTTCAGAGAGGCATCTGCCACGGCCCTCTAGTGTCTTGTGGCTAGTAAGTTACTTCAGTAGTTACCAGTCAGCCTGGAATAGTAATCAGCTCTTCTGTGGACACTGGGGATTAGCCAAGGAAGCTAGTTAGGAAAAGAATACATTTCTCTATTGTACCAAGCTTTTCTTATCGGTCAAATTTCTGTTTTTCTTAATCTAGAAATAGATATCAAGCCAGTAAGTGGTTACATAAGGAGCAGTGTCTAGTAGTCAGATAAGTCTTCAAGAATGTTAGGTAGAAGGGATTTAGTGTTTTTCTTGTTTGTTTTTGAGGAACAAATAGGATCTTTCATAACTCCAGGTATTTGCTAATCTGCATAGAAAGTTAGTTGTATGGATGTGGAAAATATACAGCTCTTCGTGTGAAAAGCTGCTTTGATTTGAGTGTGCTGTGTAGAATTGGAAATGAAAGAATATAGGTGTTACCCGGACCTATAGGTTTAAATACACACAGCACTGTGTAACTTAAGTATTAGATTACCATTTTTTCAGGAAGTAATACTAATGGGTTTGAGCTGTGAGTGGTGAATGAGTTGGGCTGGTATTTTTGTTTCATCCTGCTTTTGCTTTTCAGAATTCATTAATGACTGTTCTCCCTTATCTGTGGCTCTGTGTTTTTCTGTGAGTGTTTTCTGGCACTGTGATGGTTCATGTGGATGAAGTGGGGGTACCTGGACCTGAGGGAATGCAAGGACCTTTAGGAGTCCTAAGAGAAGGTTACTAAATAACTCTTCTTTCCATAAATGAAATGTTGGAGGGGAAGAAGGCTGGGGAAGGCTTGTAAAAAACCAAACACACTATTTTCAAAGTTACTTTTACTTTCATATCTTATGTTTAATGAGTGGTTGCTTTTGACAAGAGCCAGAATAAATCTTGTAGTTTTAAGCTGCAGGTATTTAGGGGGTTAATGCCTTGTTCTTGCTATAGGACAGAATAGATCATATTACATAGAAATGGAAAGGAAGAGTGTGTTCCCTGAATTCCATCTGAAATTTGCTCTCTTGTTTATAAGAGTTCTCATATGTTAGAAGAAAATTACTGGGATCAAACCCTATTTCTCTTAAAACTGCTAATGATCTTCACATATGTGAAGGCTTATATCAGCAGATGATCCTGAGTATTATCCAGATCTGCTTTCTGTTGTGTAGGTAACAATAT